AGTATAGGCAGACTGGCTTTGGCACTTCGTATGCATGTTGAAATCTCTAGTCATGGGGTAGCTACTATCGACTGGTCACATAACCCGCCTCTCTATCGATGTTCCTTATTTCGTTGAAAAGGGCATGACCGTGTAAACAACTCTAACTACCTGTTTACAGTAGTCTATCTAAACCTTACCGACGGGTTTAGTTTCTTTGCTCAGGAGGGTTGGGGCCTCTGGCTTCTCTCTCTATGTCCTTACGGGCAGGGCGTATCACACTTTTATAGCTGGGTGACACCTAGAGCAGCAAGGGTGGCTAACTTCGTTGGTCATTTCCTTGTCGGCGATGGCTGGAAGGTGTCTGAGCTGGTAGCACATCTGCGTTAGACAAAGAGGTTGCCCCCTAAGTCATTTAAGTTGGTGCATTTTTCATATAGTGTGAGTACCGTGAACTTTTTCTAGAGTTGTTTCCTTGGCGGTATTCTAGACTCGAATATGTATCGATGAGGACGTCGATCTTCCCTAGGGGGGGAGAGTGTCGCATATATGACTTTGGGTATCGAAAATTACCTGTTGACTAGTCCTTACGGACACTCTTACTTTACTACCACGATGGCAGGAGGTTGGTATTGCTGGACCCTTTATTAGTCCCTCTTGTTCAAGTGTTAGTAAACTGAACTTTGCATTTGTACTTGGCCGGATGAGCATAAGGAAAGAATTCCTAAGTGTCTATTTAGCTAAGCATACTCGGCTCGGCTTGTTAGTTCTTTTTTGCTTTGTCTTGCACTGGTTTGACAAGAACCCTCACGTATTGAGATTGGTCCCTCAATATCGCTACATGATAGCTTACCGTGTTTGCCAAACACCCTCGCTATCATGCCCTTTGTGTTAGTCTCATTTTTTGTCCTAAATGCTATTTATGGAAAGTGTCCAGATTTGCTCATTTGGCATATCTACAGAATGTAGAGATTAGCCTGAACACAATGGTGTTCATCCCGTATCCAAATTCACAATCTAGGGACATTCCATATTTAGTAAGTTTCAAATTTGTCCCAGAAACTAACTCCTGGTACTAAGGGATGCTTGGGGTGAAAGCCCAAAGTGTGTTCCATAGGGAGGGGGGGGGGGGGGTTGTGGGGGGAAGCAATGCAATGGTACTTTCATTTTCTTTCCCCTCAGAAGAAATGATTAAATCTCTAAAGAAGACTTACAATCTAAGCTTTGATAAAGAGTCTCCATGCCAAGAAATAAATAAACTATAAAAGCTAACACTCTAACTCTAGCAAATAGTATCTAAACAGCACCATGACGAGAACAAAGACTCTAGCACGACTCCTTTTACCATTAAGAAATGATACTAGAAAGAATCTAGCATATTCTCTCCTGAAAAAAGAATCTTCTATTAGCATATTCTCTAGAAAAGAATCTAGGTTTTCCATCGGCTCTTCTCCTACCTCTTGCTGGATCTTTGCTTGTAAGCGTTTGATAGCAGCTGGTAGCACGAAGATCTCGCGGGCTGGAGCTTGACAATCTGATCGGCAGCATACTCCCCTCTCTCGACATCCCCGTGCATTCTACACGCACCCAGCACGATCGTCCACGCCACACCGTCGGGAAGAAAGGGCATGCTCTCGAGGAGCTCCTGGGCCTCTCTCACGCGGCCGCTCCTCCCAAACGCGTCCACAATGCAGCAGTAGTGGTCCACCAGCGGCGCAATCCAGTGATCCGTGCACATCGACACAAAGTGGTGCTTTCCAATCTCGACGAGGCCGCCATGGCTGCAAGCGCCGAGAATCCCGATGAAGGCCACATCGTCAACAGGAATTCCTCCCAGGTTCATCAAATGGTAGAGCTCCAGAGCCTCGTTGCAATGCCCATTTTGGGCATAGGATGCTATCATACACGACCAGGTGACCAAGCTCTGTCCAGGCATTCTCTCAAAGAGTTCTTTTGCTCGATCGACGCTCCCGCTAACAGCATAGGCTCCTGCGAGAGCGGTCCATGCGACAACATCCCACTGCGGCATCCGATCAAAAATCTCTTTTACAAGCACCAGATGCCCGTTTTGCGCATGTATATCGAGCAGAGCCGTCCACGACACAACGTTCCTCTGCGGCATAGCCTCAAACAGCGATTTTGCTTCCTCCAAGTGCTTCTTTTGCGCGTATACGATCATCAAATTCCATGACACAAGGTTTCTCTTCGGCATTCTTACAAAGACGCTGCCTGCTTGATCCAAGCAGCCATTGTGGGCATACGCCTCCACCATGGTGCTCCACGCAACAACGTTGTGAAGAGGCATAGAATCAAACACGCTCTTGGCGCTGTTGACAAGCCCACAATCGCCATAAGCAGCCGCCATTGTTGTCCACGAAACTTGATCCTGCTCGGGCATCTCGTCAAAGTATCCCTTTGCATTCTGTAGATACCCCTTATGGGCATATCCCGCGATCATCCCATTCCAAGTGATGGAGCTCCACTGGGGAATCTTCGCAAAAATAGCCTTAGCGTCTTCCAGATAGCCATCCTGGGCATACGAGGTGACCATGGCTGTCCAGGAGACAACGTTGCGCTCCGGCATCTCGTGAAAGAGCTTGCCTGCATCGGCAATCCGGCCACTCTCTGCATAGGCTTGGATGATCGCATTCATCGTCACCACATTCCACTGCGGCATCCGATCGAAAACATGCTTCGATTCCTCCTCGCTGCCTTCCTCCGCGTACATGGCAACGAGCGACGTCCACGAGATCACGTCCCGAATTGGCATCCCATGAAAAAACTCCCTAGCGCCTTTGTGATCCCCACACTGGGCATATGCCGCCAACATTGCGTTCCCAGTAACGAGATTCTTCGTAGGCATCGCATCGAAAATCTCTCTTGCCTCTCGGAGATAGGCGTACTGATTGTAGGCAGTGATCATTGCGGTGGCCGAGACAACATTTGCGGCGGGCATCAAGTCGAACACTCTGCGTGATTCTGATAGATACCCATTCTGGGCATATGCGGTGATCATGATAGTCCACGAGAATTCGTTGCGTGGAGCTGTGCCATCGAACACCACTTGCGCGTCCTTGATGCTCCCGCACTTGCCGTACATCTCCACCAGAAGATTTGATAGAAAAACGTTCTTCTGGCAATACGGCCATTGCAAGATCTGGGAGTGGATGTGTCTTCCCTGCTTTAGATCCTTGAAGTTGCCGCAGGATTTCACTAAGCTCGCGAACACCGAGACCTCGGCTTGTTGCATCGACTCCTCTCTTCCGCCATAAGCCTAGCGATCCATTTCCGCAGAGTTTTGGTCGCTCTCAATCGCAATCAAGAGTAACGTGCTGCTTCGTCCGGAGCATACTCGCGAAGAGCACGTAATGCGCGGGATCGCTTTCCCCGATTTCAACGGCATGACGCGCTGCTCGAGTCGCCCTCTCGCGGTCGCTGTGAATTTTGCAAGCCGCGAGCAAGCAGTGCCAGTCCACATCATCCGGCATGAAGGGCATGCTCGCAATCAGCTCCTCCGCGTCTTCCAAGTGCCCAGATCGTCCCAATGCATCCACCAAGCAGCTGTAGTGAAGCTTAATGGGCGGTATGCCGTGGTCGCGAACCATGTCCAGGAACAGGCACCGCGCGGTAGCCACGGTACCGCCGTGGTTGCAGCCGAGCAGCAAGCACAGGAACGTCACGTCGTCGGGCCGTACACCGTGGTGCGCCATGAGCTGGAAGGCCTGGAGGGCGAGGGAGAAATGGCCGCTATCTCCGTACGCCCCCAGGAGGGTATTCCACGCCAGAATGTCCTGCGCGGGCATCCCCGCAAAAAAGCCGCCGACGACGCCCACATCCCCTTCGCGGGCATGAGCTGCCAGCATGGTATTCCACGTAAGCACGTCCCACATGGGCATGCGCTGGAACATGGAGAGCGCGCCACGTGTATCCCTTGCCTGGGCATACGCGGCAAAGAGCGCATTCCACGCTACCACGTCGCGCCGCGGCATGCCGCAGTCAAACATGGCCTTCGCCTGCGGCACCTGCCCGTTCTGGGCATATGCCGCGAGCATCGCGTTGACCGTGTACTCGTCCTGCGACGGCATCTCCAGGAAGAGGTCGCGGGCAGCGTTGACCAGCCCGTGCCGGCCGTACGACACGAGCATGGCGGCCCACACGGCCATGTCGCGCATGGGTATTCGATCAAACAGGGCTTTTGCGTGGCGGAGGTGAGCGGCGTGGGCGGAGGCGGCGAGGAGCGCGGTCCACGCCACCACGTCTCGGCCCGGCATCTCGTCAAACATGGTTTTGGCCTGGTCGAGATCGCCGGATTGTGCGATGGAGACGAGCATGCTCGTCCAAGACTGTGGGCTTCTCTCGGGAACTGAGTCAAACATCGCCTTGGCAGTGGCTGCGAGGCCGAGCTGGTTGTAGGCGGCGATCATGGTGGCCCAGGTGACCGCGTCGTGCATCGGCATTCTCTCCGCCAGGATCTCCATCTCCTCCAGATGCCGTTTCTGGGCATACACCGCGACGAGAGTGTTCCACGACACGACGTTCTTGGGCACTCGATCGAATGTGCGTTTGGCCTCGTCGGCCATTCCCCGGCGCGAGAAGACCCCGATCATCACCGCCCCCGAGACAATGTCCGGGTCGGGCATTTTCCGGAAGATGAGCGTCGCCTCCACGAAGCGCTGGTTGTGGACGCAAGCGGCGAGCATCATCGTCCACGAGTAGCTGTTCTTGAGGGCGATGGAGTCGAACACCTGGATCGCGTCGTCGATGCTGCCGTAGCGGCCATACATCTGGATGAGCACATTGGAAAGATAGATCCCGGCGTTCCCCTTGAAGAGAGTGTGGCGAGCGGTGATGAGAGCGTGGACGCTCCGGAGCTGCGAGACGCTCTTGCAAGATCGAACGAGACCCGCCCATTCCTCCACGCTCAGCAGCTTCCTAACGACCATTCCATGGATTGAACCATTCAAACCCTAGAAACCGCCCCGGGAATATTCTCTTTGAATTTGGGTTCTTCTTCTTCTTCTTTGCCCCGCCGGGATCGAGCGCATCGGTCGCGGTCGTCGGCTTTCTTTTTTGTTTAGATTTTTTTTTTGCTGCTCACCACGCGCATGGTGTCCCCTGTTTCGCCTCGCCCACCCAAAATCGCGCTTTGATCGAAGAACAGGGCGGAAAATTGTCGAGGCGATCTATAGGTAGATCGATCGATCATGGCAGTAGCGAGCGGCAGCTTTGCATTCCAATCGGTACAAGCATGGGATTTTTCTGGGGCGACCCCTAATTCTTGTGGTTTGGCAGGGATACATCAAGAGCGCGAGAGGGGTGAAGCTCTTCACTTGTAGCTGGCTTCCTGCCAACCAGGAAGTGAAAGCTCTCGTTTTCCTCTGCCATGGTGAGTCCGTTCTTAAATCTTTTGATTTCTTTTTCCTGAGTGGAGTGAATCGTGGCTAGGCTATGGAGTCGAGTGTAGCATCTTCATGCGAGGCACGGGGACGAGATTGGCACAGGCAGGCTACGCGGTCTTTGGGATCGACTATGAAGGCCACGGCAAATCGGAGGGAGCTGTGTGCCTTGTGGAGAGATTCTCGGACGTGGTGGACGATTGCAGCTCCTACTTTCGATCCATTCGAGGTAACTAGAACGCTCTTGGATCGATTTCTCATGATCGGACGCATGTAGAGATGCCCGATTACAAGAACAAGGCGAGGTTTCTGTATGGCGAATCCATGGGTGGAGCAGTGGCGCTCTTGATCCACAGGAAGGAGCCAATGGATTGGAACGGAGCCGTTCTTGTCGCTCCGATGTGCAAGGTCAACTCTTCCCCTCTCTCCATCGCTCCGCTCGAATCGTTTCACTGTTTCTTTATCGTTCCTGTTTCTTCGGCAACGATTTCTCGCGAACTGTTCCTCGTTTCTTGCTGACTTTTTGGTATTCGTTTCTTGTGCTTTGTTTTTGTCACAGATCTCCGAGAAACTCAAGCCACACCCAGTGATCGTGAGCATCCTCACGCGACTGTCTCCACTGATCAAGTCGTGGAAGATCGTTCCCAGCAAAAACATCATTGACCACGCCTTCAAGGACCCCATCAAGAGAGACGAGGTATGATATCGATGGGTGATCCTTTTTCTCTCACAACTAAAACACGATCATGAACAGATAAGAGCAAATCCGTACGTATACCAAGACAAGCCGCGGGTCCAGACGGCGCTACAGATGATGGTAGCGAGCACAGACCTGGAACAGAGATTGGACGAGGTACGTACGCATAACTGCGCTTCACTCTCCTCGACTTGGATTGCTTTCCCTGTATGCTGGAGTAGCAGATTGATGGAAACTGTTTGGAATTGATGGACTAGCGCTGGATTGCGAATTGATGGACTAGCGAGCTGACGCCGTGGTTTGGCTGCGTGTCTGTTTCACGCAGGTCACATTTCCATTCCTCGTCGTTCATGGGGAAGAAGACACAGTCACGGACCCCGCGTGTAGCGTGGAGCTACACAAGCGCGCGCGGAGCACTGACAAGACGCTCAATCTCTACCCGGAGATGTGGCATGGCCTCACCGTGGGTGAATCCGACGAGAACATCGAGCGCGTCTTCGCGGACATCGTGGCGTGGTTGAATCTTCGCAGCCCGGCCGGGGCGCTGACCGCCAAGACCTTGCAGCAATCCGACCTCAAGATGGTCATCGACGACCACAAGTTGACCGCGTCCAATGGTGTTTGTAATAATAACCATTCTTTCAATTAAGAGAAAACTCCACTTGACTATATTCGAACGCCGGACCTTCATAAAACTCTGCCGCCCTAATCTAGATTGCTTGTCGCCGTTGGATCTAGGTCAGCATTTTGGTGTTCAGGTTTAGGGTTCTTCAGTGTTTTGCGAGGCGGCGACGATGGGCAAGGGCGAGCCGATCAGGTGCGATGCTTGCGATCTTTAGCTGCGGCTGTGTGGATTGATTTGGATCTTTCAGGCTTTACGTTCCGGCGACGATTCTGGGATACAAGCGGTGAGTGTTTTGGTTGTCGCGCATTCGCGGCTGGAATTCACGGTGCTTTCTCTGTTGCTAGATCCAAGTCGAACCAGTATCCCAACACCTCGCTCCTCCAGATCCAGGGAGTGAACACCAAGGAGGAAGTGGCGTGGTACCAAGGCAAGAGGCTCGCCTACATCTACAAGGCCAAGACCAAGAAGAATGGCTCGCTCTACCGATGCATGTGGGGACGTGTGACGAGGCCTCACGGGACCAGCGGCGTCGTGCGCGCCAAGTTCCGCAGGAATCTCCCTCCAAAGTCTCTGGTAAGTTTCTCGCGGGGATTTTTCTGCGTTTCTTTTGTGGAACTTGTTTCTTACATTGCAATCGTAGGGTGGAAGAGTCCGGGTTTTCATGTACCCCAGCCGGATCTAAGCTTGCTTTTGACTTATCCAACTAAGGATTGCTGTTTTTCCCAAACCCGGATAAGATAAGTTCGTTCGTTCCTAGATTCTTGTTGTGGTTTCTGGGATGTTTGTATTCTTTTGGAATCGCTGGAGAGGTCTCCAACCCCTCGGAAACACAAATTTCATGGTCTGGCAGGTCGGCAGCGCTTACAGAAAAAAATTTGCGCGTGAGTGCACCAATCCACTAAAAGCAAGCTTGGTGTGTCTATCTACTAAACAGTACCTCCCAGTCGCGAGCAATATATAAAGTGGTGAGTTCACAGGCTTTCTTGACTTGAGTCACTCACTGAAACGCTCGCTGCTCCTTTCTTTCAGGAGAGACGATGACACTGCTCGTAAGAACACTGGCTCTGCTCTTGATGCTGCTCTCGTTGCTGCTCGTCCAAGCGTTTGGGAACGACATAGGCTCCAAGCCGCGCGGTGGCCGCCGTGAGCTCATGTTTCGGAGGCCGGGTTATGGCTACGGCCCCGGGTATGGAGCTGGAGCCGGGATGGGAGGGCCCGGCTATGGCGGAGGATACGGCAGCGGTGGTGGCTATGGAGGCTATGGAGGAAGTAGGCCTGGTTATGGGACTGGAAGATCCGGTGCTCCTCCGTCGCTTCCTCGACTCCAGCCACCCCCTCCTGGCCTCCCTGGAGCTTTCCCCGGTCCGGCGATAGCGGTAGAACCCAACGAGATCGGCGACAAGAAGTTCGTGGTGTCGTCATCTAGGCTCGTTGCTCCAGCTCCAGCTCCAGTCCCAGCTTTGCGGGAAGAAGTATCGTCCAGCCGAGGGTAATCGGCCTATTAAGTTTGCGGGGCCTGTGGTTTCGTTTTAGCCGAGACGAGCCAGGAAACAAAGGCTGTGTTGATCTAAGTAAGAATAAACTTCCAAAGCTTTAAACGAGGCAAGCTCGCATAGATGGAAAGGTATGGTTTGTTTTTCCTCGAGCGTTGCTCCTCGTGGTTTATTTCCAATGGCGGCGAGTTGCGTGGAATACAGGTGTAAAACATGCATGTTCCCGGGAGGAACACATTTTCCTTCGATTCTAAATATAAGTAGCTTTGAATCCAGATTAAAAGCTGGGAGATTTCGCTGACACTGTCAAACCCACCACCTTTCTTAAGCGAACTGACTGATTGGTAGAATTCCTGTTCGTTTCTTCTTGGGTAAAAGCCAGGGGATCAAGCTGGAGAGGATTGATCGTCCATGTTTTTGATTGGCTTCTCGTCAGCCAGTCTTGATTCCATGGTGGTGGTGGTGTTGCTTACAGTGCAAGCTCTCGGGATGTTGCTGAGGGCCTCGATCTTTTGCATCTCCAGATCGTCGGTGGCATCCGTCGCTGCCGCCGCCTTCTTCTTCTTGCTCGCGTTTCTGTAGAAGAGATAGAGCAAGACCTGGGCGATGGCGAGGAGCGATCCAAGCGCGCTAGGAATCTACATTCATGCCAAAACTTAGCGGACAAGAAGCAAGAGAGGCGATGAGATTACCCCGATGAAGATGTCGCGAGAGAAGAAGGAATAGGCCGACCAGAGCGAAGCATTGACGGCGAGAAAGGCCGAGAGCGTGATGGGCATAAACTCCACATTCTTGGTGCGAATCACCATTCTCTGGCAAGAACAAAGAAAGGTCACATCATGTACTAGTCCAAGATCTTTGGTTCTTTCATCTTGGGCTTACCATGACTGAGAGTGGAGCAGCGTACATTGAGATGGCCACGGCGGAACACATCGATCCCACCAGCATCACCCGGAGCTTGCCATGCGAGAGGAGCATAGTGAGAAGCACCGCCACGCCAAACACCGCCAGATCGAGCAACACTAGCTTCACCGTCTTGATCTGGATTCAAGAAAATTTACGGGATAGATAGAATGAGAGATAGATCTCACCCGGCTAAACTTGGTAGCGTACGTGATGAAGATGGCGAGGTAGGTGGCCTCGAAGGTGATGCCAACGATGTTGATGGTGATGATAAGCATGCCGTTTGGGCGGATGCAACCATAGTAGAGGCCCAAGAGCACCGTCAGGAGCGTGCAAACGTAAGGGAGAGCCGAGAAGCACTCGGTGGATTTCTTCTTGAAGATGTACCAGAATGTAGGCCTGGAGGAATGAAAGTGGTCAGGATAAGAAGATGAGGATATGGAGCAATGGATTCAGAGTCTCAAGTCCACTGGAAGAATCAGAGCATTCACTTACACTGGCGATGCGTACGCCATGATCGAGGTAATGTTTCCTGGCAAAGAGAATAGAGATTTTCCAAGCAAACTTTAGCGGCATTGAAGGCGTTTGCATCGACTAACCAATTATGCCGATGATGACCGCGACGTCGGCCATGGCGGTGGAGTGAGAGTTTCTTCTTCTTCCAAGGATCCTCACTCTCTACTCAAAAGATGTCCCCTCCAGCTCCAGGAGCTTTCCAATGATCATAAACTTTAATTGACCCGCTCAACCGGTACCAGAAGAGCGATCTTGGAATGAAATCTTAGTGCTTGGAGAGCAAGCAAATGTGCTGCTCCTCCTCTTCCTCTTCCTTTTGTCAATGACATGAAACTCTGGCTAAGAAGCAAAGAGAGAAAAGAACTTGTTCTAGAGGATTTGAGAGAGAGAGAAGAAGAAGAAAAGTGTGTGTTCAAGGTGACAACAACACTCACGCAAGCGTCCAAGCTAGCAGTTGCTCAACAAAACAAAGGAGTGTTATTTAACCGCGCGAGTGCGAGCCTCTGGGAGTAATTAACACTGCTTCACTTCCACATTACTTCCATCCAAGGTGGTAACTCTTTAAACGACAAGAGCAACTAAGGTGATGGATCCCAAACGCAACGCAGGAAAAGGCGGGGTCGAGAAGCTGGGCGTTAGACAAACTTTTCTCTCTTTTCTTGTGAGTGTGAGAGTATGTGTGTGTCTCTCACTCGCGAACACGGCACTGCCAAAAGAGATCAAACTAACTCTTCCTCATATCCAGCACTCCGACACTCGCTACCAATCTTTGCTCGAATCACTGAGGAGTGCGGACGAAAGAAAAACTAGAATCGCCCTTTATAGAATGAACCAGCAGAGTTCGGTCCACTTTAGTGAGTGGCTGCATATGGCTGCATTACCAAGATCTGTAGACAATAATTCTCACAAGCTTCACCTCCATGGAACTATCCGAATCAGCCTCAACCATCTTGGTCGTCTTCGCAGCAACAGCCATCATGGCCCAGCAATTCCCAAACATCCTTGGCCACAGCAGCAGTCCAGTCCCGGCAATCTTACGACCAACAGCAACAGCAGCAACCTTGGTAAATGGTACCTCAGGCGATTCATCAAGCAGCGGCAAAGTATGACACGGAATTTGTATACCATGTGGCGGCATGCCCTGGTCGCGCGACACGTGGCGCATCACGCGACCATATGAACGTGGGGCCATGTGTCCAAATCAACACTCCATGGGGATATCAATGTGACATGGCTATGGCATGGGATGGCATTTGTGGCTGCCATCACATTCATCCCCATTCCTTTGACTTGGGTTAGTGTCAGTTTGAATTTTTTAGCATGTGCTTTCGACTTTGACTCAGTCCACGGAATTGACAATAAGTATTTCTATGGGATTGTAACTTGAGAGAATGCTGCCTTCCTCTTCACTCAGCCCCAAATAGAACTCTATTTGGGGCTGAGTGAAGAGGAAGGCAGCATTCTCTCAAGTTACAATTCAAATGGTTTGTTTAGTAGTGGAAGCTACGATAGTCATGAACTATAGGTGAGGCATTCTGTTTGTAATGCCAGTTTCTTATTCAGGGATTTGAATTTTTTTCTGCATTCGAGAGGATTTTACAGTGCAACTGCTTTTTGCGAAGACAATAGGATATCTAGTGAGGGTCCGCGACGTTTCAAAGCCTATATTGTATTAATACATGTGGCTCATTGATTTGAAATGGAGGGGCACATATACTAGAAGGTATTGCATCACATCCAAGCACTAATATTTCCATGAATTGTGTGAGCATACTCAATTGTCCCTTTACTTGTCAAACTGGCTATGATTCTACAAAACTTCATCCTTTTCCAGGGCTCATATAAACCAAATCCAGAGTTTAGGCAAATAGTTTGCATGCTTTAAATACTCATTCAAGCCCTATCTCTAGATGTGTGTGCTTGCCTTCTTTACGGTGTAGGATTTAGTGACACACTTCCTGTCCATTCGGTCTGTGTCAAATTCCACTCTCGTCCCAAAAGCCCCGCGGGGTGGGGGCAGAGATGCTCATGCGCAGAAACACAGAGATACAACGAACCCGCAGACAGACACACACACATAGAGAGAAAAGGGGGGGCACTTTAAAAATTTGAAAAGGCAGGAATATTCCGAGTGCCAGTAACGAATGGTGAACTTCCTCTGGCAAACTTTAAATGGGTCCAATGACCCATTCATGAGACATATATGCATCCCATTGGACCCATGCATATACATAACCACTAGATCCCTTTGAATATACCCTAACACATGGAAACAGGTGCAAAAGACTACTCATCATTAGGAATATTCGCTTTAGACCAATGGGAGCATGCCATGTGTTGCACGAATGGTTTGCCATTTACACAAGGCACGCCATACAACGAGAATCTCTTTGTGGGTGTTTAGGCCATTGAGAAATTCTCTTTCGCTTTCTCTCTTTTTTCACGTCTATCTGTCTATCAATCTATCTTCTTCTGTTCTTGATAGAATTAAACGTGGCTCCAATCCAATGGTGTATGTATATTTATAGCTTAAGAAACAGAGGATGAATATCCCTAGAATATTGATATATTCTCTGTTCTTGATAGAATTAAACGTGGCTCCAATCCAATGGTGCATATATCTTTTGCGGTTTAAAAAGAAAGAGGATGAATATCCCTAGAATATTGATATATTCTTGCCGGCAGCCAGAATAAACTTTAAGGGGAAATCCAATTACATTATCCGGAAAGAAAAATACAATGATTTGTCCCCCAGCATGCCCAGCCGCTTGGCCTCCAAAACATGGCGCGCAGCAATCCAGCTCAACGCAGACCACAGAGCAGTGGTGCATCACGGCTCCTCTTTCTCTTAAACAGCTCCAATCCTTAACCACAGGTTTACATTACTGCCTGTAGCATATTTTAGGGTTTACAATCTCATCTTCGGCAATGGTAACACCAGGTTCGACGTTGTCGTCGTCACTTGTGGGCTTGCCAGGATCGCTCATGACAACCGCCTGTTGCTGCACTTGTATAACTCGAGTTGATCAAGTTGGGCCTCTGTTGCCAGGTTGGCGAATTGAACTTTGTTGCCATTTCCAACAACATCTGGCCGCTCAAGTCGTTCAGCGATCCAAAGGCTACACTCAAGACTCTACCTTAGCCTTGCATAAATACTTGCACAATAACATTTCTTGTGGAGGTTTGGCACCACCTTTTTTAAGCGCCGTGTGATTGGAAAGCTGATGCTGGACCCTGATGGCATCATCGCTTTTGTGTACCTGGCGCCAAGCCTATTGCTATACAACGATTGTGAGTTTGTGGTGGCTGCTGGAGGCAATTTTGCATTTTGTAGGAAGTGAAATTGGTGACTGGGGATGCATTTACAATCTGGTTCTTGGAAGCTTATACCGATGGCCAAGTGCCCAGGCCCTCAGTCTATTATATCCCTCATTTCAGACATTTATAACTCTTGTTTCAGTTATAAAGTCACGTTGGGATTCACAAAACACACCACAATTCTTAGCCAAAGTGATCCTTGGACAAGTCCAAATGCTTGTTTATCAATTGAACTCAAATGATAGTTTCATCAAGGGAACTCTATACCATTACAGGATCATTTGCCTTTGCTCAATTCATCTCTAATTTTATTATGTTTATAAATTATAAACATGTTTATAATAACACAATTAGTCTGATTGAGTTTGATGGAATCATTCTGGCAAAGAGCAAGTTCTGAGGGTCGTCCGTTCGGATACTAACGAAAACCATCGAAAGCACGAATTAAAAAAACAAAAACAGCTTTTTATGCAAAATCAACTGTGGTGTTGTTTGTATAAAGCTACGCATAGCTCCGATCCGAACCGAATTCGCGAACAAGACTAGCTGTCGTTGATGTCGAAGATGTTTGTAGTTGTGGTCTCTCTCTCTCTCTCCCTCTCTCACTCCTTTTTTTTCTTGGTTTTCTCCTTGTTTTCTTGCTGTGTGGCTGTGTGTTCTTCACTTGCCTGCTCCCTTCTTGTCCGCCGGCTTGAGGATCTGGAAAGAACACATGAGCGTATCGTCCACGCTCATCATCGCTCCTGCGTTGTCAAATTCGCCGCAATAGTTGGGGGCCGAGAATATTGTTACAAGCTGCCGCTTCGCAAAGAACTCGTAGCCGTCCTCGACTACCTGCAAGGTCATTTCCATTTCCAGTGGAGATTAGTAAGCACTCTCAGCCGCCAAGAACCAAAAGAACACGAACCTGATGAGCTCGGCACACGAGATCCAAGTCATGCTTTTGGAGAAAGTCCCCTACCACGTCCGCTCCAAACGTGTAAGACACCCCACGGTCGTTGCTACCCCAGCCTGTTACGTCCTTGTCCGGGTCCGCCCAGAGAAGATCACATAAGAGCCCAGTGTCCGGGACGTCTGTTGGCCGGGAGATCTTCCGGATCATGTCCAAGCTCTTCATGTCCGGGGAGAGGCCCCCGTGCATGCACAGTATCTTCTCATCCACCAGCGCTGATACTGGTAGACAGTTGAAGCAATCTGTGAATGTCTTCCACAATCTGATATTGAATCTCCTCTTACACTCATCGTAGAAACCATATATCCGGTTGATGGAGGCGCATTCATGGTTCCCTCTCAACAAGAAGAAGTTCTCCGGATACTTAATCTTATAGGCCAGGAGAAGGCAGATGGTTTCCAGGCTCTGCTTCCCACGGTCCACGTAGTCGCCCAAGAAGAGATAGTTTGCGGCCGGGGGGAAGCCACCATACTCGAAAAGCCTGAGCAAATCTGAATACTGGCCGTGAATATCTCCTGGGAAAAAAAAAAAAGGAAGAACAACATAATCAGCGAGATCCTTTCCCAAAGCAAAGACACAACACGCGTCAGGCGAAAGGACAATCCATCCCAGAAAAAAAAGCCACATACCCTACACCTCTACCTAGAGCATGTGTATGGATTCCCAGAGCCTCTTATGTCAAAACAAAGAGGGCCCTGTGAACGGCCACCACAACTTCCAAAAATCGAAAAAAAAAAAAAAAAAAAAAAAAAACACTGAACCATAGCTTCTATGGTGCTGCTTAGAATATGGCTGTGCAAAGCTTCGAACGAGAACAAAGGGAACGAACCAACCGACCAAAGACCAACGAAGCAACGAAGTCACGCAAGCCCAAGCAAGAATCCAAAATGGAAGGAAGCCAACAAAAAAATTTGGGATCGGGTATAAGAATGCGATTGCTTACCGCAGATCTTGATGGGCGCCTCGAGCTCCAGCAAATTGGGCTGCGACAGGAAGATGTCCTTGGCAGTGAGGCAAAGCTGCCGGATCTCCGCCTCAGACAACTGGACCTGTTTCCCTGGGCGGCCATTGCGAACGTCGAGAAGGCGCGTGATAATATCGTCCAAGACGGCCGGATCCATACCCCGCTAAGGAGATCCGGGCCTCCCGCTGCGAATGCCGATTTCTCTCCACTAACCTAGAGCCGCTCCCGGGACGAACAAACTCCACCGAAAGAATCATGCATCTCTGCGGCCGATGAGGGAGGCGCCTCCTCCTAGGCAAGTGCCGCCGGCGCCATCGCCACCGCCATCGCCAGCGCGCTCTTCCCTGGATCTACACGGTCGCCATCGCCAAAGCCGCTCCCATTTGCCCTCCACAAAGGCTTTTGCCCTTCCCCTTCTTTCACTCAAACGTAACTGGATGCCCCTGCCAGAATATGCCGTACACGGTACGATATACCATCTCCTGGCCGGAATATGCCCCCATTGTTTTTCTGACCTAGCTCGGCTCGTAGGGTTTGTGGATCACATCGAGTGATCGATCGATCGAGGCAGGAGCCATGAGCCGAGGCAGTGGCGCTGGATACGATCGCCACATCACGATCTTCTCGCCGGAGGGGCGCCTCTATCAAGTCGGTGAGTAATCTCAGCTCAGCTTACTTAGAGTGCTGGATGAATCTCAGTGATTTTCTGCTCGTTCTTGCTTGGCAGAGTATGCATTCAAGGCTGCCAAGAGCCCGGGCATCACATCGATTGGTGTCCGTGGAGCCGACTCGGTGTGCGTGGTTACACAGAAGAAAGTCCCGGTTTGTAGTCCCGGTTTTCTTCTTCTATAAACTTAGCATCGTTTGCGTTGTTTCAGGATAAACTTCTAGACCAAAGCAGTGTCACGCATTTGTATGCTATCACGCCCTACATTGGTCTCCTTGCGACTGGAATGACAGGTAACCAAAGCAAAAAAAAAAAAAAAAATTAAACGCAGTGCTTTCTTCGTCTTATCGGACGCGTTTCTATAGCTGACGCGAGATCTCTGGTACAACATGCGAGGAACGAAGCCGCGGAGTTCCGTCACAAGAACGGCTACGAGATTCCTGTCGACTTTCTCTCCAAAAGGTGACTCATAAAGAAAACTTTGCTAGATTTGCTAGATCGAGAGCAACGCTTTCGTTCATTGCAGGCTTGCGGACAAGTCCCAAGTTTACACACAACACGCGTACATGCGCCCACTGGGTGTCGGTAAGCTCGAGCTCGCTTCTTTTTCTTTTCTCTTGTGTCGTTTTTGATTGACAATGAGTGTTTTTGTTCGATGAATCAGCGGCAATGATCATCGCCATTGACGAGGAGAAAGGCCCACAGCTTTTCAAGTGCGACCCGGCTGGTCACTATGTTGGCTACAGAGTAAGATCCGTGTTTGATTTTAAAAGGTATATGAATCGATTGAGTGGGCGATCGCCTCGCAGGCCACTAGCGCGGGTTTGAAAGAGCAGGAGGCTGTCAACATTCTGGAGAAGAAGATGAAGAATAATCCACAACTCTCCTACGACGAAACTGTTCAAGTAAGAGTGACGCTCGCGTCGCTGCGTCGTTTTAACGTTGTTCCTGGTCTTGCTTAGACGGCGATCTCGGCTCTCCAATCCATTCTTTTGGAAGATTTCAAGGCCACGGAGATCGAGGTAGCGTATATCAGAGCGTGATTTGCTCCAAAAGAACTCAATTGTAAATTTTGTCTCCTTCTCGCAGGTTGGCATTGTGCGAGCCACCGATCCAAAGTTCCAAATCATGTCCACGGAGGAAATTGACGAGCACTTGACAGCGATCAGCGAGCGAGACTAGACCCTGATCTTTCGTGTATTCGCTCCTCTCTTCCCATTAAGAAAATGGTATTTGGCTGACCATTAAAGAATCCACTATAGTGGGGCGTTACATCACGATTCCTCCCATTAGGGCGCGGCGTAGTGGAAACGGTGATCGCGCTAGCGCTTCCTGGGATTGATGATCGATCTCCAGGATTGCGCCCCCAAGAATGCAGGTAGAGCGTAATCCAGGGGTAGCAGCGAGTGCGCTGGACGAGATGGAGGGAAATTTCGCTTCCTCGACTCAGGAGCCGCGAACACCTCCTGGATTAGCAGCGGGCGTCGCCGATGTTCGAGGCAGGCATAGGATCCGCGTGGAGCTCAACAAGATCCAGGAGGAGAATCGATTGCTCCAGGTATTTTGCCCGCTAGAATATTTTGGTTCTTGGTCCGTTGTAAATTTCTTGCGCATTTCCAGGAGGAATCTCAATTGCTCGATTCTGCTCCTCCGGCATCCAAGGCCTGCAAAGAGTCAGTTCTTCGATTTTCTTCTCTGCGAATCCAGGTCCTCATCGCTGTTCTCTTTTTCTTCTCAGGATGATCGACTTCATGGTGTCTAGTCCCGACCCATTCATCACCAAGTAAGTCGCTTCGTGCTGCTAGTATAGGAAGTAAGTCCTGGGATTGAATCGTTCTTTTTCCAGGCCGTCTTTGCAGCAGCAAGAGCCCGCTTGGAATCGCTGGTTTGAAACTCCAGTTGACTCCACAGCCTGCTGTTGCTGGAGCTTGACTCATTGACGAAGGAATGTGCTTTTTATCTGGTTGGAAATTCAAGGGGCCTCTATTTTGTCTCATACTCCATTGCTTTCTTCCTTTGTGGAGGAGCCCTAACCTTGCAGGGGGAGGAGCAGCAGCAGCAGCAGCCATGAAGGTGGTCGCGCTGGTAAGTGGAGGCAAGGATAGCTGCTATGCGATGATGCGTTGCATTCACTTTGGACACGAGGTACCTCTTCTTTGTTTGTTAGATTCGATTGGAGATTTGAGCTGAATGGTTTCTTAGATTGTTGCACTGGCGAATCTACTTCCCGAGTGTGACTCCGTCGATGAACTGGACAGTTACATGTATCAAACGGTACTCCTTGTTCTTGGGTTTTTCGTTTTGGTCCACTCTTGTCAGTGATTGTGCAGGTTGGTCATCAGATCGTGGAGGCGTATGCGCAATGCATGGGACTGCCATTGTTTCGAAAGCGAATACAGGGAAAGCCCAAGTACGTAAAGCTCTTATTGCATTTTGTGGTTGCATTTTCTAAGTCTGGAGTTTCAGAGCTTTTGACCTCAAATATTCAGAAACAAACGGGGATGAAGTCGAGGATCTGGAAGTACTGCTAAAACATGTGAAGAGCAGAATACCTTCGGTTGATGCGGTCTCGTCCGGTGCCATTGCGTCCGACTACCAGCGTTTGCGAGTGGAAAACGTCTGTTCCCGACTCGGGCTCGTGTCTCTTGCTTATCTCTGGAAGCAGGACCAGACTGAGCTTTTGCAGCAAATGGTTGACAGTGGAATCTCGGCAATCTTGATAAAGGTGAACTTGTCATTCTCAATGCAATGTTGTATTGATAACTTCATTGTGTGGCCAGGTAGCCTCTATGGGTCTGCAACCTCAAAAACACCTCGGGATGGAGCTCTCTGCTGTGTTTCCGGTCCTTTCACAGCTTCATGAGTATGTATAGTTGCACACTTGACATCCATACGCTTCTATGTTCTTCTTCCTTCTTCCTGTAGACAGTTCGGTGCCAATGTCTGTGGTGAGGGTGGCGAGTACGAAAGCCTTACTCTCGATTGCCCGCTTTTCAAGGTATGCAGTGTATTTCTCACGCTCAACTGACTGACTGTTTTGTTCTTTTTTTCCACCAATCTAGAATGGCCGGATTGTTTTGGATGAGTCCAGTACTGTCCTTGTGTCCACAAGCTCCATCGTCCAGGTTGGATTCCTTCATCCCAAACGGTTCCACGTAGAACACAAGGGATTGGAAGATAACAGAGACACCGGGAAGGTGTATTGGGTAGTCGATGAAGCTGAACGAAGTCAGTGCTTAAAGAAGCAGCAGTCATGGACGTACGATGAAGCAACTGGAGAGTGCCGTGTCTCAAAGACCGAGGATTACGTGACTATCAGCTGTTGGCTGGCAACGAAAACACATAAAGGTCCGCTTTCAGAATTGCCTACATGTGATTTCATAAATGGTAGTTTCCTTTATAGGTGCTGGAGAAGATCTGTCTCGGCTGCTGTACTTGACACTCGAGCTCCTAGCCAAAGAAGACTTAGGCTGGGACGCTGTGCTCTATATACATCTCTACGTCGAGAGCATGAAGGACTTCGCCCAAATAAACAGCATGTACTCTCAACACATCACGGAAGCGGATTGTCCACGGGGCGTTCCTTCGAGGTCCACAGTAGAAGTTCCTTTGGCCGCCTGTGGATTGGGAGATGTGATGGTGGAGGTGTTTGCTGCGCGGAACACGTCCAAGAAAGTACTGCATGTCCAGAGCATCTCTTGCTGGGCACCTAGCTGCATTGGCCCCTATAGCCAGGTACTCTCTTGTTTCTCCTTTCTCTAGTTCACAGCTTGGTTTTGCATAGGCCACCTTGCACGGAAACATTCTTTTTATGGCAGGTCAGATTGGACTCGATCCTCCTACCATGGCCTTGGTGACGGACGGACCTGCTGCAGAGACGCTTCAGTGTCTACAGAACGCTCGAGCTGTTGCAGAAAGTTTCGGATCGGCATCAACGATCTTCATCACAGTCTACTGCAGCCTCTCCCTGAACAAACAGCAGAGGAAGGAGGTGGAGAGCCAATGTACAACGTTCTTCGGCGACGGTGCTGTGCTGCCGATCATCTTCTACGTCCTCGTCTCTAGTTTACCAAAGGGGTAAGACTTTGCCTCTGCTCTTACTCTTATTTCGCATTTTCTCACTTGTTGCTTGCAGCTCAAGTGTTGAAGTCGAGCCTCTACTTACTTGTTTGTCCAGCAACGAGGCCAGTGACGTCGAGGCTTCTGGGATGACGAAAAAGCTTGTGCATGCACTGCCAGCTCCTGCGGAGGGGATTTGCTCGTCGGACTGCTTCTCCATTCCGGGGCATATTTGCCGGGCACTGGTGTCTGTGAGATCGTCATCGCCACTTTCAAGCAATTTTTCCTGGCTGGTGGAGCTAGTCGCCAGCATTCTAAAAGACGCAGATCTCCAATGGTCGGACATTTCGGTAAGTTTCTCTGGCTTGCTCTTTGTCTGAATTGATGGTGATCACGTGCAGGCGTTTCGCGTTTACTTCGTGGGAGAGAAAACTCGTTTTGACGAAACAGCGGTGAGGAGTTTCTTCGAAGCGCATTTCCCAGCATTGGTAGTGGTTCCCGTTCATGGTCTGGGACACGACACCGAATTTAAGGTGTCGCTCACTCTCGACATTGTTGCGCTTAGAAGCCTGCAATGCACATAAAAGGGTATGAACTGTCTTTTAATTTATGTCACTCTCATTTCTTTCACCGCTCGACTCTCCTCCCACATTCCAACACCAGCATACAGGTTGGACATTAGCACACAAGCAGCAACAGGATTTCTTTCAACTTTGAGTAGAGATTCAAACGCAACTTGTCCGATTCTCACATTTTTCCATTTGTGACAGGCGGACAAGAGTGCCATCCAGACAACGGAGTTGGACGTGTAAGGCATGCTGCTCGCAGTTTCTAGTGCCTCGTCCAGTCGATTGGCGCGGCCTAGCAAGTCCACCATGCATGCGTAATGCTTCACGCCGGGAACAATACCATGTCTGGAAGACATGGACTCGAAGCACTCCTTGCCCCGATCAACAAGGCCAGCGTGACTAGCAGCTGCAAGGATGGATACGAAAGTTACATCGTTTGGCTCGAACAGCTGCCTTTGCATCTCTTCGAAAAGTTCGAGCACTCGATCGAAGTCCCCCTGGCGGCTGTATCCGTCGATCAACGAGTTCCAAGTTATCAATTGCCGGTCACTGCTGTTCATCGAGTCGAAAACCTGGCGAGCCTCGACCATACTGCCACACTTGCCGTAGAAGTCGATCAAGCAATTCGCCACGGTCGGTATCAATGAAGCAGCAGCAGCACGAGCTTGGGCTTCGATTGTTCTTCCGCTTTCTACAGCCGCCTCCGCCCGACACGCCTTCAGTGCAGCTATGAAACTCGCAGCATCCAACTTGACCCCGTCCAGTTCTTCCACCATCAGCCGATATGATTCGAGAGCCAGTTTTCCGTCGGCAGCGCGTGCGTAGCCCGAGACTATGGCGGTCCAAGATACAGCGCTCTGACTCTCCATACTCTCGAAGACTCTCCAGGAATCGCTCATACTCCCGGCCTTGGCATAAGTATCGATCAGAGTATTCGCTACCAGAGCGTGGAGCTCGAAACCAGCACGAACAGCTCGGGCATGGATGGTTTTACTGGCCTGCAACTTAACTTCAAGGCTGTCATCGCCATCTTTTCCACCGTTGAGACACGCACAGGCCTTGAGAGCTGCAACGTAAGTCACACCATCGGCTACTACTCTATCGTCCTCGATCATTCGCTGGTACTGCTCCAGAGCTATCTTGGCTTCGCCACTCTCGGCGTGGCCCATGATGAGGCAGTTCCACGACGCTACTTCTCGACGCGGCATTCTCTCAAACACTTCTCGAGCGTCAGTGGTGCTACCACACTTGGCGAACATATCAACAAGGCTAGCACCCACGGAAGAGTCCAACTCGACGTGCTCTCTCGCTTGGAGGTAAATCTCCTTTGCTTTCTCTAGACTTTTCGATTTGATCCTCCTGCCTTCTACCATTCTTGCTTCTTCCTTGGCTGCCATGCTCGAGCACGCTTTTGCTGCCGCTACCACCGCTATAGCATCTGCCGCGCATCCTTCTTCTTGCATTCGTTTGTAGAGCTCCAGCCCCGTCTTTCCATCTCCATTTTCAGCATAGCCAAGGATCATCCCCGTCCAAGATACCACACTCTTGTTTGGAATGCTCTCAAACACTGTCCTTGACTCTTCCAGGCTTCCGCATTTGGCGTACATGTCCACCAAGCTGTTGGCCACAAAGATGTGTAGCTGCGCACAAAAACTTTGGCAAGCGTGACGGTGGATCTCTCGGCCTTTTGCCAGTGCTCCCAGCTTCACCACTTTGCCTTCGACTGGAACAGCAGCTTCTTTGTCCGCCAAGCTCGAGCAGGCCTTGAGAGCAGCAACATACGTGACATAGTTTGGAGTGAAGCCGCGCTCTAGCATCCTCTCGTACAGCTCCAGCGCGAGCTCGCCTTCGTGGTTATCAGCATGGCCGAGAATGATGGTTGTCCAGGAGATTAGCGTGGGATTGGGAACAGTGTCGAAGACAAGCCGAGCTTCACGCAAGCTTCCACACTTGCAGTAGACATCAACGAGGCTGGTGGCAACGAAAACTTCCGAGGCATGGCCGTCGGCTGTGGCTTGCGAGTGGACTTTTTTAACAGACTCCAAGGTTTTCGGCTTAAGGAGCTGTCCATCGACGAGCTGCGGGGTTTCTCCGCTTGCTAAACTCGCACAGGCCTTGAGAGCTGCGAGGTACGTGACTGATGTTGTCTTCAAGTTTTCACCACCTTGTTTTTGTTGTAGCATTTGCGAGAAAAATTCTAGAGCCAGCTCTCCGTCTCCACACTCGGCATAGCCCAAGATGATACAGTTCCACGACACCGAGTCACGTTCCACCATGCTTTCAAACACTTGACGAGCATCATTCATGCTTCCACACTTGGAGTACATCGAGACAAGCCTGCTAGCCACGAAGCTGTGCGTGTCCAGACCACTGCTGCGAGCGTGGGAGTGAATTATCCTCCCTCTTGCCAGGGACTGGGATTTTATGATCGCCGTCTTGCCCGTCACGAGAGCGCCTTGTTCTTCCTCGGCCAGCCTCACGCACGCCTTCAGAGCTGCAAGGTACGTGACATGATTCGCCTTTGGAGCTCGATCACCAGCTTCTCCTCCTCGCAGCATTCGAGCGAAGATCTCTAGCGCAACCTCGGCCTCGCCACTGTCGACATAGCCGCCAATGATAAGATTCCACAGGGCCGTGCTCGTCTCAAGCATTCCCTCGAAGACGCAGCGAGCATCAGCCATGCTTCCACACCTCACGTACATCTCCACCAGGCTGCTAGCCACACCGGAATCGTGGGACTGGGACTGAAGTGAGCGGTGGATTTCCCTGCCGGTGTGGAGATGCTTGAGCCTGCCGCATTCCCGGAGCGCGGCGAGGACGAGCGAGGCATTGGGTCGCAGCCCAAGTCGCTCCATCCTGCGGTACATCTCGATCGAGGGCGCTGCTGGGCTTTGAACCGGCATGGCGAGCTGAAAAGATGATAGAGGTGAGAGCCCTTTGTCAACCAATTACATCTAGTTGGCGGGAGCGGACTAGAAACAACTACAGCAGTCAAGGAGAATGGTGAGTACCTCAGCTTTCGGGCCAATACTTAAACCCACTTCGACGACTCGAGCTCAAACGGGATGGATTCGTTCAGCATGCTTGATCCAGCGCCAGTTTTGGTGTCACTGGCTGGTGTGTTCTTGGCCATCTTGGTATGGAGGTGGATGACCCAGAAGAGGTACGCCAAGCCCCTTCCTCCTGGGAGTTTGGGACTCCCCTTTGTCGGAGAGACGCTGCATTTTCTCCATTCCATGAAGACCAACAGGCCGTGGGAGTTTTTCGAGTCGAGGGAGAGGAAGTATGGCCCGGTTTTCAAGACCCATCTGTTTGGATCGCCCACGGTGGTGGTGAATCCCCCCGATGGATTGAAGCTCATCTTCACCAATCACAACAAGCTCGTCCGTGGCTCCTGGCCCAGCTCCATCAGGAAGCTCGTCGGGGAGCGATCGCTCTTCTTCATGGAGGGCGACGAGGCCAAGCGCTTCCGCCACATCCTGCTCGCGTTCCTGGGCCCCGAGGCGCTGCAGCGGTACGTGGGAAGAACGCACGCTATGATCCAGAAGCACGTCGAGGAGAATTGGATCGCGGGTGGTGAGATCAAAGCGTATCAGTCCGTCAAGGAGGCGCTCTTTGCTGTCATCTATGATCTCTTCCTGAGCCTGGCCGACGAGAAGGAGCAGCAGGAGCTCCTGGAACCCTTCCGTGTCGTCCTTCACGCTTTGATCGAGCTCCCGATCGATTTCCCGGGAACGGCGTTCTCCAAGGCCATGGCTGGCCGCCGGGAGATCATGGCGAAGCTGGACCGGATGATCGAGCAGCGGCGGCTGGATTTGCAGAGCGGGAAGGCGTCCGCGCAGCAAGATCTCCTGTCGGTGCTGCTGGTCGCCAAGGGCGAAGATGGGCGGGGCATGACCGACGAGGAGATCAAGCAAAACATCGTGATGCTGGTTCTTGGAGGCCACGACACGAGCTCCAGCTCCCTCGCCATAGCTATCAAATACATCGCGGAGAATCCATCCTGCTACGACGAGCTCCGTAAAGGTTGACTATCATTGATTGACCTCCGTGGACTGACACTCTCTCTGTAGAACACTTGGAAATTGCTGCTTCCAAGAAGGCTGGAGAGCCACTTTCCATTGCTGATGTCCGGCGCATGAAGTATACCTGGAGAGTGGTCCAAGAAGGCATGCGCTTCGTGCCACCCACCACTGGAGTTATTCGCCGGGCTATTGTGGACTTTGAGATGGATGGCTACACAGTTCCACAAGGATGGCAGGTTCGTTCTTCATTTCTATCTTTCTAGATCCTCCTCTTCTCACGCCCGATCTGTGCGCCAAACCATGTCAAAACAGCTGTTTGGATCCATGTACCAGAGCAACAAGAAAGAGAAGTTCTTCCCTGAGGCCGAGAGCTTCAAGCCGGACAGGTTCCTCGGCACGGGCCCGGTTCCTTACTCGTACATCCCATTCGGTGGAGGGCCTCGGATGTGCCCCGGTTACGAGCTTGCCAAGGTCCAAGACTGCGTGTTTTTGCACCACATTGTCACCAGGTTCAAGTGGAGCTTGTGTGACCCGGACGAGATCGTGCAAATGGCTCCACTGGCAGCACCACTCAAGGGCCTTCCCATCAAGCTAACCTCCAATCCAATCTAGACTGGGTCGGACAGGGATTAAGTGTTGAAACGATTCATGAGCAAATAAAAATTGCGGATTCTAAGTAAGCACCGCCATGGCAGCTCATTGACGTCATTCTTTCTTACCACCGCAAAGCAGTAAATACGACTTTTCAAAGCGAAGAGACATTTGCGAAATAATCTGGATGGAAAGAAAAGTTAGCACGTAGCCACTCGAATCTCCAGCCTTCATTGATTTTTAGGTGCTGTCCCCCAAAGGAAACAAACAGTGAGAGAGACTGTGTCATGAAGTTTTTATTCTCCCCGAACGACCCATTCGAGCTGACAGCTTCTTAAGCTTGATTTTTTCCAAGGTGGCGAAGCGCTGCTAAGCCAACACACCAAATGTGCGTCCTTTTCGTTGCTCTTGACCCGGATAAGGTCGGCATATAAAATCCGCATTGTCACAGTGCAGGCAGGATATTCCGGTCTTGACACGAGTGCGGCTGCTGCATGCGACTAGCCGCCGGATATTCGCCATACTTGCTTATCCTGTGCATCGGAAAATATCGAATGCGAGGTTCTGTTGTCCATCGCCAGGGTTTTTTTTTGGGATTCCACTTCACTGCTCCTTCCTGACTTAGTGGAGATCTAACTCAGAGATGGGGTCTCTCATGGCTGGCTGGAACTCTCCTCGCACCAAGAAAAGTAAGTGATTTTTACTGCCATATCGCCTTGTCCTCAGAAGCCGGGATGTTTTGGACAGGATTTGAGCGAAACTTGTCCCTCACCAAAGAGGAAATTGACTCCTACTGGCGTGTCAAGAAGGCGGATCAGAGCTCTCCCCAAGCTAGTACTCCAAATGTGCCAGCACTGAACCTCGTAAGCGTTTGGCTTTCGTTGTTTCGTGACTCCTAAGCTGTTGTCTAGCAGGCAAAGAAGACGATCCAGAAGAGCAGTACCTTTTCGAGCCAGGATGATGATCATATGGCGAGCGAGTGCGCCAGAATTCTTCAGCTTTCTCCGCACAAGGAAGTCCTCAAGAGCAAGACTTTCAACGGGCGCGAGGCGGAGGCCGAAGTTCATTCGGAGCTTCTAGTCGGCTCCGCTCCTGCCGCATGGTAACGCAATGAAAGGTTTCCTCTTGACTGGATGGATGTTTTGGTATCCTCGTCTTGCAGGTGGACAAAAACAGATCTGGCATTTCTTAATGAGCGACCGGTGCTGGAATCTGTGGTCGGCAGGGCCTCCCAGTTCAAGTATGAGTCGCAGTTTAAAGTCACGGAGGCACTCAAGACTGACGATCAATCTCATAGATCCGCTTCCAACTCTACGTTTGTGTTCTAAAAGTTTACGTTTCTTATAGAGCTGAGCTGTGTACATATTATATATACAGAAGTCTTCGTGTCAAGATTGAGGTTTTCTTGTTTTTGGAAAACTATCGCTCCAGGTTCATGCTCCTCGAGCCAGCCTCCACTCTGCAATATCTCTGCCATTACCTCCCGCTATTTATATGTAATAAATAATAAAAATATGACTCAAACGCAATTTCTAGAGACAATCCAAATCAACCAAGAGCTTCCGCAGCCTGTTGATATCGGAACCTGAGCTTTCTTTACTTTGCTCATACTTAACACGTTCAACCCTTGGGTTTAGCTTTCGGCGTTTCTTTCTTTTGTCTTCCTCCTCATCTTCATCTTCATCCACATCATTGCTACTGCTCACCCCTTCATAGTAGCAAATTTTAGCATTGATCACCTTCTTCAACCCGTCTCTAGCCACATCGTCCCATCTCTTGGATATCTTAATCAAGCTAGCAATGTCGTCCCATGTCTTCTTACAATACAAGCTGCCATACTCCAAAAGTTCTTTCTCCAAAGGTTCTTTCTCCAAAAGTTTAAAATCACCGCTTCTCACACGCTTTACTATACTTTCCACCATTTCCGCATTGCCCAACCAAATTGCAACTTCAGCCAGTTCCTTGTTGTGACTATTATATACCAGTGCTCGCGACAAAAGTTCCAAGAACAGCTGCGTCACCTTTTCATCCTTCTTCAAGCCAAACAGCCCTGCTGCTTTTTTCATTTCCATCACCGCATCTCTCAGCCCCTGATTATTCACTTTCTTCACAGTGTTATGAAACTTCTCGTCCAGACCCAAGAGCAACACAAGCGCATCCGCACTCTCGATTTCCCTTAGCCCGCCATAGATTTGTGCGAAGTCAACATCCTTCATGAATCTCTTCTTTGCCAAGGCCATTGCAGCATCGTGACACCCTCGACACTCGAGCTCCACAACAAATGCCGCAACCCTTCTCAGAAAACTTCTCCTTCCTTCCTGCCGGAGTGCAGCCAGCTTTTCCATCTTTTTTGTTTCGCTGGAAATAGACTCATATCCTCCATTGGGCTTCTCTGCTTCTCGCTTCCACAAAACCTCTTGTTCTGTCAATGTCTTCTCCCAGAACTCTTCGATGCGAGGAAAGCTCGTCTCTCCCCACTTTTTGACTACCTGGACTAAGCAACTATCTGGAAGCGAGGGTGCGATACCCAAAATCTTCCATGCATCATCTTCACGTCCACACTTGACGAAGAAGCCCAGCAAACGTGCCAAGAACAAGCTGCTCTCGCAGACTCTCTCCTCCGCCAAGAGCTTCTGTGCAAAACATACACCCGCCTCCTGCAAGCCATTCGCGTTCAGATGCTCGGCAAAGCTTACAATCCCGTGCTTCTTATCTTCCTCCTGCAAGAGCCCCTCAATCACCCCGCTGTAGCATTCATCCCATCCATACTTTTGTACCGTAGCAACCATATCCTGCGCTGCTGTTTCCATGAGCTCCAACCCCCACTTCTTCATGATCGAAAAGGCAGCATCGCGAAAGTCGTGCTTGATGCAAAACTCTAGCAGAATTTCATCGAAACTCGTATCCTGGGAGTTTGATAGAGCATCCACGTATCGCTCTAAATCCCCACTCGTCCGGCCAGGCTCATGCTTGTGCTGCTCCTCAAGCCAGTTCACTACACATCTGACTGGTTGTGTTGCGCACAGCGCCTCCATTCTGCAATCCTTGGGCCACACTACTAAGGCAGCAGTGTGATAAAATGAGGTTGTATAGCTGCCATTGTCGCCATAGTGTGTCACATTCTTATCTGGTGAGTTGCCAAAAGGATCATTCTCGTTGCTTTCGTCCCTCACAACCTGATCCTTTATAGACAGGCTACTACTTGTGAAGTGCTCGAGTTTTTTATCGTCTATCGCTGTCCAGTTCGTCACACTGTACAACTCAGTCTCGCATATGTTATAAATCACGTTCGAGGTGCACGTCTGCTTGACGAGCATGCAGAGATAAACGTCGAGAAAGCTTTTGCAGCTCAGCACAAGCGCCGCCACAACCCTGTCGTGTCCCTTGAGCCCCGCAAAGCTCAAGCTGTTTTTCGAGTACTTGTGACCCAGCGGAATTGCGAGGATCGGTGATGAGGTGCCTTTCACATTCTCGGTCCATTCTTTCATTTGGCTTTGGACGCTCCCGAGAGCTGACAAGTAGTGTGGAACCTTGCAAGCATCCACATCCATGAACTTCCGCACCAGGCTAAACACCAGGCAGAGCCTTGTCCCGCTCGTCACCTCGGCCAGCTTGTGCTCGCAGTCGCAGAAGAAGGCCGTCTGGAAGTACCCCGTCCTCGAATCAGCACCAGAGAAATCAAAAGTGACACTGTTCTTCTTGCCGTGACGAATCTCCAGCTTACCACCCTCGTGGCCGGACTGCGTTGGAAGCTGAAAGATCATCGTCGCAAACATGCCATCTTCCTTCTCAGTATCCCTGTGGAACTTGAAGTGTCCACCCTGCTCATACAACAGCAGCGTATACAGTCTCACGTCCAACCCAAGCGCAGCCGCATCAATCCCCAGCTCCTCGATCACGGGACTGGCCATGGCGAGCACCACCTTCGAGAAAAAGTCTGGGATCTGTGGGCAACTCACCTTGGACGCCTCCACTTGCCATGCGCGGCGCACGTCTGTGTCGAGCAAGGTTTCCTCGCCCTTTCCATAGGATGCTTGCTGCGCCACGGCCTTGAGCTTGAGAAAGCCATCGCCGGAGAGAGGGAGGGCGAGATCTCCAGCGCCCTCCACTTGCAAGGAGGTGGGCATGGCGAATCTGCTTCCATCAACCTTGCCTCCCGTGGCACACTTTCGGCGGGGAAGAGCAGACCACAGTACCTTTAGTAGTGACTGGTAGTCCATAGCAAAACCTAAAAAACTGCCTCTATCTTAAACGCTTTTACTTGATGGGTTCGAATCCCATTCTCAGCATATTTGGGGTTTAGGGTTCTTGGGGAAGGAAATGGCGCGTCTAGTGTGTCGCATGTAAGGGCTCGTCTTTGCGATCGGTTTTGCTTACATTCTCGTTTCCTTCTCGCAGCTGCCAGAAGCAGTACGCGAATTACACATGCCCCCGCTGCAATCTTCGCTATTGCTCGCTCCAGTGTTACAAGGTGAGGGAATTCGTGGTGTTTCTGGTGTGACTGTTGATTCTTTCGGGCAGGGCCACAGTGTGCAATGCACGGAAGCCTTCTCTCGCGACAACGTTCTCGCGGAGATGAAGAATGTGGAGGTGTCCAAGGAGACGAAGCAAAACATTCTGCAAGCATTGCAAAGGCAAAGCGAGGATGGAAAGGAATCCATTAACGATGGTCTGGCAGCTAAGTTTTCCCTGGATGGATAGAGTTTCTAACTTGGCATGGTGGCACAGAAGAGGAGGAGACTTCCATCTCGGACGAGACTTTACAGAAATTAATTGCTGGTAAGTTCTTTGCGTGTTCTTCGATTCAGTCACTCGCTCTTTCTTTTCATTTTTCTTCTTCCTAGGAGCCGAGGTCACAGTGGCTGATTTATCCTTGGACGAACTAAAAGCGTTTAAACGAGCTGTGGCAAGCGGAGAGCTGTGCCACCTTATCGAGCCATGGGAGCCCTGGTGGCTAAAACCGGGTGCCAAATCCTTGACTCTCGGCTCTCAAGGCAACAGTCTCGTGCAACCGCTCGACTCGACGAGCAACGACGAACAAGAGAGTACGAACGAAGCTCCTCTTCCTCCATCGCAAGCTCTACCGCCGCTAAGTCACCTCTCTAAACTTGATCCTTCGCCGCTACTCCCGGTGCACCTCATCGATCTCCTTTACAGCTACTGCTTCGTGATGCGGCTTTACAATGGCGAGTGGAAGGACAGTCCGCTGGACGCGGCCATGGATTTGCTAGCGACGTCCAGAGTTCTATCGCAGTCGGCTCAACCCGAGACGGTCACCGAGGTGATATGGTACTGCTCCGAGGCCGTGTGCTCGCCGGCTTTCAGGCACGCGGGTGGCAGCCAGCTCAGTCTGTTGCTCTGCGATGATACAGCGGCGCTTCTCCGGATTGGAAGGCCCGCGGTGGTACGTGCCTTGGCAGATCTCCAACGAATGCTGGAAGCCTCCATCGACGAGTCCAAGAAGCTCAAGATGGTCGACACCAAGAAGGAGAGCAAGCTTCTCCAGGCGGCTTCCAGGAAAGCTTTCTTCCTTATGTGCTGGGCGAACCAACTTGGCGATGGCGTCGCTTGTTTTGCAGCTCTGGTGGACACCGAGAAGGAGAGACGTGCCGAATCCACTGAGTCGACGGTGACGACGGCGAGGACAACGATGAGGACGACGAGGACGACGACCAAAGCAGTTTTGTCTGCCGCTGGCGATTGAATGCTACTCGAAGCTCGGTCACTGTGTCAAGCTCTTCTTTTGTTGATCTGCCGTTGTCCGTGTGCGTAGCCGAAGTTTCATCAGGTGCATCGCAAGTAAGCAACCAAAAGCTCGCTCCCTCGCTCGCGATTCATCCATCCTTGCGGAAAGTGGGAGAATCAATCTTTTCGTTTCAAACAAGATCTAAGCTTTTTTCCACTACGTTTTATTTTGTCGCTGGGCTGCACTGGATCCAATTACCAAATGAAATATCATATCTTCCTTTCTTGCGAGACGAAAATGTTTCTTTTTTCTCTTCTGCCTTCTCCGTAGTGGGATCCCCGTCCATTAAACTGCGAAAACGACGAGGTTTGAATTGAATCCAAAATAGTACATAACATCATAGGCATACATCTAAACCTCACATCAATCATCCCCTCATCTCGAAAGGATGGTGTTGACTTGCAAACCAGTTTTTTTTTTCTTTGTCTATGCATCTCATAACTTCCATCCATATCGATCCGATCGAGCTCTTAAATGGAGGATCTTGCTAGCAGCGCCACTACCAGCGCCGCCGCCGCGCCGCCAGGGCGGAGGGAAGGGAAGGAACAGTGGGCAAAACCGGCTTAAAACGCAGCTCATCACTTGATGCCCACTCTCTGCTTTTCCATAATTCGGACTGATCCCCTTCAACGCGGTCTTCTCGCTCAAATTCTTTCACCTCGAGGTGCGCCAGATGAGAGCAGGCGGAGATGGACGGCAGCTAGGGATCTAGAGCATCTAGGAGGCAAGATCATGAGGTATTGGAGATTCTTGGCAACTTCATGTGGCCGGATCGCTTCTTCCAGTGCCCGGAGCTGAGGAGCAGCATAATAGCGTTGAGATTGGAGCTGGAATCGCTCCATCCTATGTCGCAATCCATGCCGCGGTGTTCCCAAGCTTACAGTTGCAATCTAAGTGTGTTGGGACGTGCGCCCCAATCAACGTCCCGAGGATGTGATTTGCAGCTTGCTGCCGCGCATGCGATCAAACACTCCTCCTTCCTCGGATGAGAGACAGAGCGCGAGATAAGAATGCAGATAGGTGTGCATTGATCAGGAACTGAGGCACAGCTTCGCCACCAATATAATGGATGCAAATATCATTATATGGCATTCTCAACATATTTGGGGATTAGGGTTCTCGGGTAAGGAAATGGCGCGTCATCGGTTTTGCTTAGATTCTCGTTTTCTTCTCGCAGCTGCCAGAAGCATTACGCGAATTACACGTGCCCGCTGCAATCTTCGCTATTGCTCGCTCCAGTGTTACAAGGTGAGGGAATTCGTGGTGTTTCTGGTGTGACAGGGCCACAGTGTGCAATGCACAGAAGCCTTCTCTCGCGACAACGTTCTCGCGGAGATGAAGAATGTGGAGGTGTCCAAGGAGACGAAGAAAAAATTTCTGCAAGCATTGCAAAGGCAAAGCGAGGAACGAAAGGAATCCATTAACGATGGTCTGGCAGCTAAGTTTTCCCTGGATGGATAGAGTTTCTAACTTGGCATGGTGGCACAGAAGAGGAGGAGACTTTCATCTCGGACGAGACCTTGCACAAATTAATTGCTGGTAAGTTCTTCGCGTGTTCTTCGGTTCATTCACTCACTCGTTCTTTTCATTTTTCTTCTTCCTAGGAGCCGAGGTCATAGTGGCTGATTTATCCTTGGACGAACTAAAAGCGTTTCAACGAGCTGTGGCAAGCGGAGAGCTGTGCCACCTTATCGAGCCATGGGAGCCCTGGTGGCTAAAACCGGGTGCCAAATCCTTGACTCTCGGCTCTCAAGGTAACAGTCTCGTGCAACCGCTCGACTCGACGAGCAAAGACGAACAAGCGAAGCTCCTCTTCCTCCATCGCAAGCTCTACCGCCGCTACGTCACCTCTCTAAACTTGATCCTTCGCCGCTACTCCCGGTGCACCTCATCGATCTCCTTTACAGCTACTGCTTCGTGATGCGGCTTTACAATGGCGAGTGGAAGGACAGTCCGCTGGACGCGGCCATGGATTTGCTAGCAACGTCCAAAGTTCTATCGCAGTCAGCTCAACCCGAGACGGTCACCGAGGTGATATGGTGCTGCTCCGAGGCCGTGTGCTCGCCGGCTTTCAGGCACGCGGGTGGCAGCCAGCTCAGTCTGTTGCTTTGCGATGATACAGCGGCAGTTCTCCGGATTGGAAGGCCCGCGGTGGTACGTGCCTTGGCAGATCTCCAACGAATGCTGGAAGCCTCCATCGACGAGTCCAAGAAGCTCAAGATGGTCGACACCAAGAAGGAGAGCAAGCTTATCCAGGCGGCTTCCAGGAAAGCTTTCTTCCTTATGTGCTGGGCGAACCAACTTGGCGATGGCGTCGCTTGTTTTGCAGCTCTGGTGGACACCGAGAAGGAAAGACGTGCCGAACCACTGAGTCGACGGTGGCGACGGCGACGACAACGACGAGGACGACGACCAAAGCAGTCTTGTCTGCCGCTGGCGATTGAATGCTACTCGAAGCTCGGTCACTGTGTAAGTCAATTCCTTCCAAGTCAAGCTCTTCTTTGGCTGATCTGCCATTGTTGTCCGTGTGCGTAGCCGAAGTTTCATCAGGTGCATCGCAAGGAAGCAACCAAAAGCTCGCTCCCTCGTTCGCGATTCATGCATCCTTGCGGAAAGTGGTAGAATCAATCTTTTCGTTTCAAACAAGATCTAAGCTTTTCGCCACTACTTTGTGTGTTTCTATTTTGTCGCTGGGCTGCGCTGGATCCCATTACCAAATGATAGATCAATGAGAATTCTCGAGAGGTACTAGCTTATCTTTTCCTGGTTCCTTTCTTACGAGACAAATAACTTTCTTTTTTCTCTCCTTGTATATTCTCCTTTCCCTGGTGGGATCCCACGACGAGCGATCCAAGCTTGTTTCCAAGCCGCAAGGCCACAAATCCCGAGATGGTGCGCAGCTCTTGTTTGTCAAACACTTGGAGTGCACGAGCATCCTCCTCCGGCCCGCCATCTTTTGCCAGAATCTGTGCAAAAGAGATGACGCGCACGGAATCGCTGGAATATCCGCTCCGTCCAACGCATGCATGAGTTCATGCACGCACGTAATCCTCTTGGTGTTGACTTGCAAAACCATTTTTTTTTTCTTTGTATCGATCGCTAATACATTTCATAACTTCCATCCATATCGATCCGATCGAGCTCTTAAATGGAGGATCTTCGCCGGCGCTAGCAGCGCCACCACCAGCGCCACCACCGCCGCCACCACCAGCTCCGCCGCCGCGCCGCCAGCGCGGAGGGAAGGAAGTTTCGTGGAAGGAACAGTGGGCAAAACCGGCTTAAAACGCAGCTCATCACTCGCGTAGTGTTGTTAAGTCGCATTTCATCGCCTTGCGCTGTCGCAGTCTCACGCGCTATTCTAGCAGCAATCTTTATTTTTTTTCCTTCGCGAGGAGATTTGATTTGATCCGCTACTCCAAGGTTTTGGCCACCGCTCAGCGTCGATTCAGCCATGCGGCCTCCCCCGCTGAAGATCGCTGGTGGCAGCGATGACTCTTCGTCCAGCTCCAGAGATCCAAGGAATTCCAAGAACAAGGCTGTGTCCTCGCCCAGGCGCTCCAAGCCGCCACTGCCAGGGGCTCGTCGCGGGCCGGTTATAATTCACACATACTCGCCCAAGGTGATCCAGACGAGCACGCAGGATTTCATGGAGCTTGTCCAGCGCCTGACGGGTTCCTCCGACACGCGCCTTCGCTGCAAGAAGACCATCTCCACGAAATCTACCAAGGTATCCTCCTCCTTCTCTTCCTCCTCCTCCAAGAAGTTTAAATCCAGGCTCGCGCATTCCAACGCCAGTGATGATCACCCAGGTGGTGTGTACAAGCCCACCAGGCCGAATCTGCCAGAAGAGATGGATGACGGTCCCCATGATGATGATCACTCCTCCTCTCAAGGATTGGCTGTGACGGACGATCTTAGTCTAGGATCCTTCAAAAGCCCTCTCCTCGCTAGCCATAGCAGCGACGAGCACATCAATTTGTCAGTAGGCACGGGGGATTCGATGAACGCGAGTCTAGCAGCAGCCACTCCGGCGGGCGGATCACTGGGATGGTCGTCGCCAATCCCCACGCCAAACTTTCTCCTGCAGCACGACCTGTTCAAGGATTTGCCGCTCTTGTCGCCAGTCTTCTCGCCTGCATGGCCACACCAGGTCGGCCGCTACGCTAGCTCCTAGCTCGCTACGTGCTGGGTTCCGTCTCGAGAAATTTGTCTGTATAAATTGAAATCAAGGAAAATTTTCGTAGTCGATTGTTCGGGAAAGAAACGAAACGGAGAAAAAGGAAGCAGAGAAATGTAAACAAAATAGAAGCATGTTTGAAAAGGACTGTACAACTACATGTTCATCCGGCTAAAATATAAAAATAAAAATAAAAATAATGGAGTTTTTGTTTCTTCTCGCTGGAGCCCTCTCAGCATCCTAGAGCTAAGTTAGCCTTTATTAACTTGCATGGCTGAAAAAAATTCCTCCTCTTCCTTCTCTTTTTTGTATTGAGTCCATAGGGATGGTGTGATGGTGAGGAGCTTTTGCCTGTGACGATTAGAATTCGTGGATGGAAGGGCTTAGCAAAGCTTGGATGCTTGAAGTAACTTGTGTGCTGCCTCGAGTTTCTCTTCCTCGCCCGCTCAAACACGGGAACGAGAGTGGACGCTCGTGCTGGATGCTGGTCTCTTAGTCAAAAACTCGTGATGAAAGGTGGTTACGTCAATATCGATTCCATAGCCGTCCACGTACAAGAGCCTGCGCCTTTGACGCTCCCGCGCTCGCTCCATAACCGAGACCATGTGTGTTGCCGTACAATCCACATATTTGTTTTCTATGCCGGGAAAGGATCCTGTGACTTGCTACATCTGTTCCCTTCTATGGTTGCCTGCTGGCGCTCTTCTACTTGTGGCTGCACGTCCCGGCCGGCAGCACAGCATCTGCGCCTAGCTCTCAGCCTTTGCCGCTACGAGGATCCTGGCACTGGCCAGTTGCCGACATTGCTTGCTTCTCCAACATCCAGCGTTGATCGACATCATGTCACAGCTCCATCGTGTAAGCAAGAATCTCCAGTAGCAGCCGCGGCTGGACTCTCGGCGACCTTCCTTGCATGAATTTTCACTCTTTGGTTAGAGATATTCGATACTACCGTCCTGAAGGTTCATTCCTCGCTTTTATTTATGCCATTCGCTCTCTCAGCCGTCAACCCGCGGTCGAGATCCAAGCCAAGACGAGGGTGGAGCTGCAGCAGCAAAGTGACGCCTTCGACGTGACCGAGATGGTGTGCCGGCTCTTCTATACATGCCTACTACTACTACCTTCTGTCCTATGTCAAGTATTACCTGCACAAGCATTGCTACAGCGATCGCGACCAGGGGCAGACGTTGCCGCCAGCCATGCCCATGCTTCACCTGGCACTCTCCTTCGTGCTCAACGTTACCTCCAGCTCGCAGGTGGTGCCACTTTCCTCGAGCGACATTGATATGTCCGAAGGATGATCGAGGTAGATAGTGTCCGGTCAAGATCAGCAACGACTATTTCATGTTTCATGAAATAGTCATCTGCTTCGGATGCAGGTTGTCAGATTTGTCTCGAACTGCCGCGGAGTGCTCCTCCAGCCTGTGGGGTGACAAATGCTTTATACAGTCGCCATAGTGGAGCTCCACACGTCCATTCTGGAGCTCGGCCCGAGCAAGACTGGGGGCCGCCTCTTCCATTCCTGGTTCCGTTACCCAGCAAAGCTAGAGCCATGGTCGAGCAAATCAATGTGTTTTACAGCCGGCTAGGATGGCCGCAGTGTAGAAACTCATCGCTGCTGGAAGAGGCAAGGTCGGGCTCGTAGACAATGACACCGACCGCGTTGCGACCAAGTGCGAGGTGTGCTAAGCCTGCCAAAGGCAAAGCGAAGGCTGAGGTTGGAAAAGAGCTTCGTGAACTTGTTGGCCGCGGTGAGCTTGCAGGGGGAGGAGGAGCAGGAAGAGTGCAGCTGGATGCTGGACGACCTCCGCTGCCGTGCAGCTGTTGGAGGCTACCAGATGCTCAAGCCGCTGCTGCCGGTCCTGAAAAACAGGGGTGTCAATCTCCTACATTGTGGAGGTGTGTGCCTGATCTTGTTAAACCGACATGGTTCTACGTGTGCATGGGTGGCAGTAGCTGCGATACAGGAAGAATTCGGGGAGCTCCCATCTTTCCAAACTACGCCGACGGCGGATTCAACTGCCTGCTTCCGATATACATCAAGGCTGATTTCCCTCGGGGCTTCAAGCTGCCCGGTACGGATATCTAGAGCTCCACACCAAGCATGATAAATGTTTTGCAGATGCCCCACGGGAGATTTAGCAGCACTTGTCGGAGCCGACCATAACACTGTGCCAAAACGTGACGGAGCCAGTGCTCGGCATGGCAGCGTGCCCGTGCCAGTTATAGCGCCGCGGACTTGGACGACAAGGCGTTATTGTGCTTGGTGTGCTGCTCCTACACCCACGGAACAAATACCACCTTGAGCGAGGGGCGGCGAGTGACAAGGCGATTGCTGTGGTCATTGGGAAATGTGAGCTGGGGCCTCTACTTCTCAAGATGCTCAAGGTGGGAGAAGGATCTGATACATTTGCTTACGATTGCAATGCACTTACTGGTGCTATGAGCAGGAGTTGCAGGGGGGAGGCGAGCAGGAGATGCTTAACAAGCAGCTCGCCTGTTTAGGCCTGGGATAAGCCTCTTGCACTGCCTTGCTGGTGCTTAACTATGTTGTAGCTCTTGGAGCCTCGGCTCCCTGGCCTGGAAAGTTTTTCAAAAATTGCACTCAAACACAAAATCACTTTGCTATTGCTTACCTTTGAGAGGGAGCGAATCAAAGGCCGAAGGAGTGTTTGGATACTTGACCCTGTGCACGACGCTCCCGCTCTGCTTGATCATGGACGCTGACTTGTCTTCTTGAGGAGAGCGGGCTCTCAGTAGTGAGAATACGTGATTATTTAGACCCCTTGCTCTTCTTGCATTATCCAGAAAGTCCTCCAGCTCCTGCACAAAGCCATGCCATGATCGTAAACCTTTCACAAAAATAATCATACGAAGTAAAGATACCTGTCCATATGAAGGACCATACACTAGAGCTGGCTTCCTTGATCTGTCGTGATGGATGGCGGACTCGGCTTCTTCTACACTTAACAGATGATAAATGAAGTCCAATAGCTCAAAGCGTTGCTGCTGCCCAAGGAAGTATACAATAGCGCAGCCACCCCAAGCCACCGAGTCACCAAAACACTCAAAGTTCGGGCCGGCCTCGGCAAGTGACTCGCCACAAAACACCTGTGCATGCACTTCAGTTTACAGTGATCCTAACAGAACAGGAAAAGAAAAAAAAAACACAAAAGCGTCAAGCTTACGAATTGAATGCCACTGTATATCCGATGGTACTCCTTGGATGTTGTGATTTCGATGAGCCCCGTCTTCGATGGGGAGCTCCATTTCTCCCGAAAGCTATCGAGTACAACGCTCAGATACGCCAGTGTGTACTCAAGGACGCTACCAGTTTGGATGTTTTTCATGTACAGCGAGCCTGTGATGAATATTAAGTTAGCGTTAGCAAGCTTGGACGACAACAAACCTGTAACTTCAGCTTGCTTCCCCATTGCAACGAACGCAGATGGCGCCAAGCACAGTGGATGTGCTGCACACGCGCTGGCGGCCTCTTTAAAAAGAGCCAGGAAGGGGCTATCTGTGGCGTCAGCAGCGTATCTCTGAAGGCCATTCGGTCCCGGAGCAATGCCCAGCCAAGGTGCTACTTGTACCATCTGACTCGTCTCGGTTTCTTTCTGCCAGAAAACAAAAAGCTTTGTCAAGAAGAAAGGAAGAAATGAAATGCAGCACCATACCATTGCCATATCCAGCAACGACATAAGGAAGAGCAACGTTCCAATTTCTTTCAGACATTCTATAAAGTTAACTTTCCCTTCGTAGCTTGTTACCCACTGAAGTTGCTCCTTCAGGATTTTCATTGCCCCTGCACAAAGAAACAAATATTAGAACAACTCCAGCAAACTCAGTAGCTCACCCGCAACACCAGCTTCTGGAGTCGGGAGGTTTATCGCCTTCGGCATGGCTCCACGAAGATCACCAACACTGGAATCTAGAGACGACGTGATCTGTTCAAAACACACGCAATAAAACACTCGGATCAAATGAAAACCACACACTGACCTTTTGAGAAAGGTGATCCAACAAAGCTCGGATAAGCCAAGGTAGCGAGCGAGAACCCAGCAGCTTGACTATGCACAGCATGTGAGGCAATCCAAAGAACTTGCTGAAAAGATCGGTGTACATGGCATGTGCCATGTTCAAGTCCTAAGAAACAGAATGTCAACTCAACATGAAAACAATCAGCAACCTTACCGGAGTGCCACAAAGGAAACTGTAATCCGCGTGGGGAACTGGAGCACGTCGAAAGGCTCGCTGGCAGGCCTTAGGTGACCTGATGAGCCTTAAGCTTGAGTTGCATAAAATGAAGTTCGGAATAACATCGTTCTGAATCTCCGAGAATATCTAAGGAGGAAAATCATTTAGAAATCGAGTAGCATGAGCTCTACCTGCGATGCTAGTCGAGAAGAAAACGACACCATTGAAATATTCTCCATCATTTCCTCCAGGATAAGATTGAACGGATCTAGAGTGAGCTGATCTGCAAGAAGGCAATGCGTAGCTCGGAGAATTTCAATTAAATGGTCGAGCTCCTGTGAAGTTGGTTAGGAACAACGTCACAAGTCGAAGTGTTAAACGTACCACAATGGTGCAGAGGTCATGGGATTCAAACCGCTCAAGTAAAAAGTCAAGATTTTCGCGGAAAATTTTGTTTAGTCGCTGCTCAATGAGAAAAGCAAGGTCTATGTCCCGTCCCAATATCTGTGTTCAACGTGAGCATGCCAACATATAGTTGAAAATGGACATTGAAATACCTGAACTCGCCGCATCTGAAACAATGGCTCGTAACGTTTTGGAAATACCCGGAATTTGTCCTGAAGTTCGGAACTGGCGACGAATGTTGCATCAAGTTGCTTGCTGAACAGACGTGGTAAATTACGCAACAAATCTAACGCTGCCGGCACACACACCTTGAAGCCCGACTTTTGTAGTAGGAAAATATGTGCTCACTCAATTTAAAAACCAGCTGGTCAAAGCACAAGTCAACCTGTAACAGACGACGACTTGGCAGTAAATCCAGCGTGCTTGTGTAATCTACTTACCTCGGCCTCGACCTCATCGTATAGAAAGCGTTGCTTGAGCCTACGGAGCGCATGCTCTGCAGAGTCATTATAAATATCAAATGGCACCAAGACGCTCTCGAGTAAAGCAGCATCTTGAGATTCTAGTATATAATCCACCAGCATCCACGGAAAAGAACACTCGATAGGAAACTGTAACATGCATTCAAAGAACCAGTAACGTCAGTAGAATACTTGACAGCGAGTACCTGTATTACACGAGAAGTTTCCAGATAAAACTCACGGAACCAGATAAATCCGAGATCGGTGACATGAAAAATCGTAGCTGAATTATCATGTTTAAGGAAGCATGCAGAGAATGAAATGCATAAATTCACCTTTGTAATCGAGGATGTAGGGGTAAAACGCCAGCTTGTTGAAGAACAAGTCGAGTTGTTTCATGTCGGCTGATGCGATCTCAGTTTCGTTACTTCCAAAAAATACTGCAGCTTTCTTGGGACTCCCAGAGATAAGTTCGTGGATCAGAAATTGCAGGCAATGAAGCTGAAAGGAGAAAAGTCAAATAGATTTAAAGAGAATGCCGAAAGGCTACAAACCTGGGCAGCCGTAGGAGCTGTAGCCCGAACCGTGATTGGAAATCTATCAGTTTCATCTTTCGTCTTCCTGAAAGATCCTTTCTCTTGATCACCATTACTATTTGTCCAGTCCGCTGCGATGGTCCTCATCTCAGTAACGATTCTAAGATCAAAACAACAATGCGCATCAGTTATTTTGATGTACTAATGTCCTTACCGAGATAGTTCTTTCTTTTTCTTCATGGAAGTTCGCAGCATCAAGGAAAGCTTGTTTTGCACAAAGTCTTGCAATTGCGAATGTATGAGTTCGCATACTGTCTCGGCAACTTGAGTATCAACGTGCTCCAGCATGGAGCCAACACCCTTGATATAGCTTATCAGCTCCACCATAGCTTTTCTTTCTTCGGGGGAATAGTTGCAGCGTACAACCTTAAAACCAAACGCTCAAAACTTAGCATCTTAATCGACATGCCAGCCATACCTTCTCATAGTCTGTGACAACAGCTGAGACATCCTCGTCGTATGGAGTGGCTTCTTTTGAAGGTCTGGAGAACTTCCAAGCACACTGCTCCCACACGCGGCCTGTCCATTCACTAAGACACTGAAAGCCTTCAAGAATTGCCATGTAGACATCCTCCTTGATCTTGGCACTGAGAGCCTCGTCTACGTTTCTGGCACACTTTAGAAGCTGGAGCTGCAAAGAATAAAAAATGGTCGGAATATTACTCGACACATACAATGAGCTTCTTACCTTGTTTATCGCAGCAGCAAAGTGCAAGCAGAACTCGTCATGAGCGAAGCGAATGGCAGGCATGTGATGTATGATCAGATACTCTTTCTGATACGTTCTCCTCGTCAAGGCGACAAAAAGAAAATAAAAACATGGCCACCAGAGAAAGGATATTCTAAAGCTTCACGGGGAGCAAGCTCGTGGGGTGCAGGCAACGACGTCAATCTGCTTTGAGCCGCAACTTTCCGAAAGTAAGGCGACAGTTCTTTCAGCATGCTTGCAGGCGAAAGGTGAAGATCTGGAAATGCGGGAATTACCGGATCACTCTAAGAACAGAAACAAATCATTTATCAGAAGGAAACTGGAAATGAAATGTACCCGAAACACCCGGATGAGCCTGTTTATTTTGATCTTCTTGAATGTTGAGTCGCCTTCTTTCTCAGAGGAAATGGCGAGAACCACCAGAACGGGTAGCACCCTGAGCAATACATGCCTCTCGGAGTAAAGGACAACATGGTCGGACTCCAATGCATCCAGGCAGAAGTTGATCAAAACTTGAAGGAGGTCTTCCAAGCTGTTCAAGCTCATGTAAGAAAAACGGAAAGGAGAACAAAGCATACTTGTTCACTCGGAAAAGTTCTGCCTGTATATTAAGCAAGATGGCCCATCTTGTACTCAGGAAAATCTGCACAATTATAAACCTCAAGGTATGGAGAAAAAGTAGAGATACCTGCAGGTCATCCAGTTCTTCTCTCATGGAATCCGTATCCGGCCACTGGGTGCTTATTTGAGTGAACGTTCTGTGAAATCAAATAGTCCGGCGGCAGGGAAAAAGATAGAACGCAATAAATAGTGATCTCACCTCTTGTACCATGAAAAATCATTTGGGATGCTTGCTTTTGCATTCTTCAAATGGTCGAGTTGCAAAAGAACATCGAGAAGCTTTAGAATACACCTGTATGCTTGGAAGTTGTGATGCAAAACGAAAAACAAAGAAGTATCACATACCACATATGTGTCACGGTTGGACCATTAATTCTTCTCTCCGGCCGACAGAACTTTTGCATATTGCCTGCGAGCTGTGAAAATAATGAGCACTTACAGAAGCACTCGAAAAATCATATCATACTTTTGACGCGGCTGTTGTTTGCCAGCGCTGGATGTCACGTAAGCGGCCGATCTCAATGTCGAGCACTTGGTACGTTTCCAGGTACAAATCTGCCTGGCTCTGTTTCATGGAGTCGGGGAGCTACCGATCCATTATAAGAAGAGAGCCAAGTGAGTCGAGCAAGTCGAGAGAGTCTTGGAACAATCTTTGCAATAGCTACCTGTGGGAGAGCCTTGACACAGCTGCGATACGTATAGAGGATAGAAACCATCTCGTTGCCTTGCTCCACCAGCACATTCTGTAAATCTCGATATAAGTAAGAAGTCGTCCAGAGAAAACCAACAAACCAGCTGATTGATCGACTTAGAGTCTTCCGTGAGTTGTAGCTGGTAAGCAGCAACATCCTCGTAATCTGCCAGGTTTTTTAATCGGGTGAGCGAGCGAGAGATCCATACTCCCTAGCTAGTACTAAGTAGAATGCGATCGTGTATTACCGAGAGGACTTTGAGACGCATTCTTGCCAGTGAGAAGCGTGACAGCAAGCCCTTGAATGTCCGGCTGGTTGCCCTGGAGCAGCGGCAAAGCTTTTCATCCATGGAATCACAAGGTGCTTGCGCTTACCTCCAAAGCAAATGTGGATAGCGCTGCCACCGCTTCCTCCATTCCGCGCCCTCCTGGAGCTCTCTCTCCCAGCCCTAGGAGCTAACAAGACACACACGAAACTCTCTCTTCTGTATAGATCGGGCAAGGAATATACAGCGAATAAGTTATTGGGTGTTAAGTAGTGTACAGGCGAAAGGAGATCACAGGCCAAACTTTGGTATGATCTGGACGATAACATCGCACTCGCTGACGTCCTCGTGGTTGTCTACGTTATTGTCTCGCGGGAGCTGCATGGAGCAGTAGTGAACCGCGTCGTCCACAGTCAAGAAGATCCACCGCTGTCCCAAGATATCGACAAAGCCACCCCTGTGCAGCCTCTCAATCACTTCGGCTCCAGGATTCGCTAGAACTAGCTGCGCATTAGATGGAAATCCATGTCAAAAGAAAGACAAAAAGAAAGGTGATTCAACGAATCCCTCTACCTGAATGTCTGACGCCTTGAGCGCCCTGTGGATCTCCACAAAGGCGTGGATTCCCGACGTGTCGATGCTCATGACAGCTGAAACACGGCGTCCAATAGTGTTACATGCGCAAGAACAGAAAGAAGCTTACGAGAGAGATCGATTACGAGAAATCTGAGAGGCGAGGCCTTTGCGAGATTCGTCTCCTGCTCTATCCATCTTATGATCCTGAGAGCCACCATGAAAGAAACAAGCTTTGTCACTGTTCTCCCGTTTCAAAGGCTTGATCGAAAACACCGTACCTACGCGAAAGTGAATTTACCTTTCTCTGACGTAATTGGCATTGGAGAAGTAAATCGCGGCTTCGATGCGGACGACCAAGATCCCCGGTACTCGAATGGCCTGTGGATACTGCTCGATACTCCGATAGATGCTCGTCCCCGGAATCTTTCCCAGGATCGCAGCATGAGGCCTGGTGACGTGCAGCAGTACCTTGAGCACAGAGATGCCAACCTGCGAGCCATGGGGTCGATCGTGTCAGTTTCGGATAACGAGCATTCCTTTCTCAAACATGAGTTCTTCGAAACTCAAGCTTACCGCCACCGAAAGTCCCAGAGGGATGGAATGGAAGATAACACCGAAGAATGCTCCCATGCACGCCAGGAAGTCGATCTTGTCCACCTTCCATATCTCGTAAGCTGCGACCGGATCGATCAAGCCCACGAGCGCGCAGAAGATGATGACCGAGAGTATAACGTTGGGAGTGTAGTGAAAGAGCGGCGTGAGTGCCAAAAGGGTCACCATGACTAGAGCCGACATGACAATGCTAGAAACCGGTGTCTTGCAGCCGGCGTTGTGGTTCACTGCGGTCCGGGACATCGCCGCTGCATCAACAATGAAAGTTATGCTTCGATCATGCGTAAAGATGCTCTAGTCTTACCAGATGATCCCATGCACGACAAGCAGGAGCCAATCAAGTTGATCATGCCGCTGGCGATCATCTCCTTGTTCCCATCAATGTGGTAGTTTTTAAGCGACGCAAACGTTCGGCCCACCAGGATGACTTGCTGCCAAGGCAAGCATGTTTCTCTGAATGAATTACTCAACACCAAGCCTCCGAGTTACCAAAGCGATTGACAAGAATTACCATGAGTCCGACGAGGCCAAGCACCACCCCAATCTTGACAGATTTGACGAGGAATGGGCCGTGGAAGGACAAGTAGCGCAGAGATGGCGGATTCAATCCCTTCCTCAAGTTCCCGACCTGTATATATAGAGTTTGCCCAAGGAGTTATGCTCGAGAGGGAAGAACTTACGATGCCAACGCTGTGGTGGTCGGCCCGTGTGAGGAAGACGATGAGCGTGGAGAGGGCGACGGATGTAACCGGGGCCACTGCCGACACCCAAAACAGACGCTTTTTTCGCTTGCTCTGCAAACAACGCCAGCTGACTTATATATGTGTCTTATATGTGATCGCCATCAAGATCATCGCACGCAAAGCCAAACTTACAATCACTCTGGCCGTCGTCAGCAGCGAGATGAAGAAGACGCCAAACACGATGGTCCTCCAGTTCCACTGCCCATCAAACGTTAAGACGAACAAGTTGAAGCTTCTCTAGAGACTAGACTAGGTAGGAGATCTCACAAGAAAAACCGACCTGGGAGGGGTGCTGGAAGATGGAGTGCACGACCGAGACGATATCAGACTTCCTGGTGAAGTGCGTGAGCCCAAGAATGCCTTTGAACTGCTGGAGCGCCACCACCAGCGACGCCCCCGACATGAAGCCCACGGTGGTGGCGTGGGAGAGGAAATCGATGACAAAGCCCAGCCTGACATGGTGCGAATTTGATCACCTATCGCGAGGAAGAAGAGCCCTACTTGTACTTTACCTGAAGAAGCCGAGCATCGCCTGGAACAAGCCGGCAAAGAAGACGGCCATGAAGGCGAGGCGGAGATGGTCCTCGACGCTCTCGTTGTGAGCGCCCAGCTCCGATCGCACCAGGCTTCCCAGCAGCAGCGCGAACACCGCCTCGGGACCCATGGCCACATCCTTGGAGCTCCCGAAGAGTGCGTAGATCACGGGCGGGACGACGCAAGTGTCTACAAGGACAAAAGCGATTATCAACTTTGGAGCATGACGAAGAGCTTGTGTGTGCTTTCTTACATAGCCCCAGCACTGCAGGCAGACCCGCGAGCCTTGCGTACGCGATTCCCTGTTACCAGATCATCGGAGTGAAAGATTCAGTGGGATTCTTGAAGTAGCTAGATAGAACTTAGAAGCTTTACTTGTGGGATGGAGAGGCTGGCGATGGTGATCCCGGCGATGAGATCGCTCTTGAAGTAGGCTTGCTTGTACTTGGGCAGCCACTCGAGGATGGGGAAGACGTACTGGGCAGCCATGGCGATCTTGGTGGCGGGTGGCTGGTTCTTGAAGTGGCGGAAGGGATCGTCCGGGAAGAGCGTCTCCCTGGACGCCGAAGACAATTTCCGGAACGCGCTCTTGCGCGGCGCTCGCTGCACCTCCTGCATGCTGTGCACATTGATGGAGCCCGGCTGCACGATGTATCGCTCCGACGAACCCGACACGATCCGGGACAAGGACTGTTCCACGCCTCCGCGGCTCTCCCCTGATCTGTTCTGGTAGCTCTCCAGCTGCCCAGCTTGTTGCTGCTCGTCAATCTTGTGCTCATCCATGGTCGCCAATTGGTGGTAAAAACACTATTGATCAAAGAACACAAACCTCTCGAGGTCTCTTGCTATAACTAGTTAGAGGAGAACCGATTGAGCTTAGAGCTCTAGCTTGGAGCTGAGAGGAATGATCTTTCAAAAGGCAAAATCATAGCGAGTCGAGACGAGGATCTTTTCCTTTATAGGCAGGGGATTCCAACGGGATTCCTATATCACCCAGAAATGCTGCCCGCATTCCCAGAATCGAGAAAGGGAGCGCCTAACTTAGCCTCCATTCTTTTTTCCAAGCTTGCAATCTCACCCCCATTATACATATGATAGATTCACAAGGACCACCGAGACGACCCGCGTGGACCGCCACCTCGGCTCAAAGTGTGTACTTAAGTACACGCTCCACGTATTTCCCTTCCAATATTCTCACGCATATTCGATCGATCATCAAGGATTTTGGTTTCTTTTCCTTGTTTTTCAGGTGGTTCTTTGGGCATTTGGGTTATGCGCTTGGGCGACACAACAGCTTCTGTTTGCCATGTTCCAGTGCTTTACGCGATGAGCTCGTAAAAATTCCAAGCTTATCTATGCATACATGTAAAGCGCTGGGTCCGATCGCTGGCCAGCGCTAGAGAAAAGGAGAGCGAGAGGTGTCGATCGCAGATGCAATTTTTTTGAAGATTCGAGATGTCTCTAGGCTCATGCACCAGTGTCCGTGGTCACGAACATATTCGATTCCGCTGGTCGGTGAAGGCAATGTTTTTGAGATCATCCTTTTCACAACCAGTTTGATTCAACACGATCACCACCTTAATTTCGGACAACTCTACGGTGCCACGCCTCGGAACTTCTCCCCAGTCACGCAAACGAAACGATTAAGGCTCCTGTGTGAGGGAGATTCTCTCGTGCTTTAAAATGGACTCTGCCTCCATGGCTTCTGGATATAGATTAAAAAACTCATGCATGGAAGTGGTGCACTGATCATGTAATAGAAGAGCAAGAAAGCATGACATAGTTGGATTCATGGGCAGACGTGCTTCTTCAATTGGAGTAATAAAAATCGTGTGTTTTGCCACTCACCCCCAGAGAGATCTGCCATGATATTTATTCCTCACCTGTGGATTTCTTCTTGAGTGGCATTGGTTGGAGCCCAAGTCGACCAGCAATGGAAACGACAATCACATGAGCAAATTATGCACCCACCCTCCCTCCATTTTTTGATATATTGTATGCTCCTGAAAGAAGCTTTCCGGACGACCTCTTTCTCGAGATCGGGCTTGGCCTCGATTCGGATGTGTTGGTCAGATCATTATTTCTTCCTGGTGACGTCGACTTGCACTCGCTTGCATCAATCAATCGCTCCAGAAGAGGGAAAGAGAAGCTTGACATTTGATGTCAAAAGCAAGTTGATATGTGGAAAAGGTTGGTCATTGGTGGGGAACAATGCCTGCAGGGGAGAACAATTGGCCGAGCATGCCACAACAGGACAGTGTACTTCAGTAAAAAAGAAGAAAGAAGAGAAAAAAAGCTCGATCGCCCGGCTGCATTTTCAAAAGGAGATTGGAATCTCTTCGCAAAGAAGAACACGAAGATTGCGATTCAAAGCAGGCTAGGCCAGGGACGCACACACACCCACACTGCGGGAAGAACAATCCAGAGTGGGATTCTTGTTTATGTTTATCTAGTGTCTTCTAAACTTAGAAGTTTCACTACCAAAACAAGGGTTCCATTTTCCATTTTCCATTCCCCATTCCACTCGGTGCTCAACTTGGGCGCCCTCCAAGGTACGAGCTACTTTGCTTGCTTTGTTGACTGTTCGTCAGTCCCCAAAACTTTGGTGTCGATCTCTCCTCTATTTCTCAATCAGTCCTTTTTCTTTTTTCCTCCCATCATCTTTGTATGGTCACTTCTGGCATCTCCTTCGTCTTTTGCAAATTGACTGAGCAGTACTCCACTGCGTCGTCCACTGTCAGGAACACCCATTGCTCGCCCAGCTTCTCCACGAAACCCGACTTGTGTAGAGTTTCTATGAGGTTTGCCCCTGGGTTCGCTAGAGCCAGCTGCATTGTTTTTAACTTTAGATTTTGAGAGAAGAAAAAGAGAGAAAGATTTACCTGCATTTCCATCAAGTTTAGATTTCTGAGAATCTCTCCCAGGACGTGAAGCCCAGACGTGTCGATGGTCATGACCGCTGATCATGGGTGAGTGTTACATCAGAGAGACAGAGAGAAAGGTTAAGAATGTGTGATGAGCTTACGTGTGAGGTCGAGTATGAGGTATTTTAATGCGCTTTCACCCGGAAGCTTGTCTCTCCCTTGCTCTTCCTCTATATATCTTGTCAGCCTGGCGATAGATTACACACGCCTTTTAGACTTTGTGTAACAGGAGGACTAACTAACCTTTCTCGTATGTAGTTGGAGTTTGAGAAGTAAATGGACGCGTCTATGCGAACTATGAGAACTCCCGGGATCCTTACAGCTTTGGGGTATTGCTCGATGCTCCTATAGATGCTGGTGCCAGCAATCTTGCCTAACGTTGCTGTGTGTGGCCGGCTGACATGCAGCAAAATCTTTCCGATGGAGATGGCAACCTGGAAGTTAAAAGTTCCACAAAATCATGGTGATTTTTCCGACTTCTTTGCATGCTTTTGATGGACTCACCGCTATGAGTAATCCCAGCTGAATGGACTGGAAGCAGACGCCGAGAAACGCTCCCAGGCAGGCCAGAAAGTCGATCTTGTCAACCTTCCAGATGTGGTACGCTTCCACGGGATCGATGAGTGTGATGAGAGCGGAGAAGATTATCACAGAGAGGATGACGTTGGGCGTGTAGTGGAAGAGTGGTGTCAAGGCGAGAAGTGTTACCATGACGATGAGCGCCATGAAAATGCACGACAGCGACGTCTTACATCCCGCGCTGTTGTTCACTGCCGTTCGCGACATTGCTCCTGGAAGTTATATGATCGATCAGCGAAGTGTAAGTTCTCTTTTTTTTCCTTGCATGACTAACCAGTCGTGATGTAGCAGGACATGCAAGACCCCGTCATGTTCACCATTCCAAAAGCGATCATCTCCTTGTTGCCGTCGATATGATAGTTCTTGATCGATGCAAATGTTCGTCCCACCGCAATAGCTTCCTGTGGACACAAACTCTTCAGTCAACCATGATCCGTGATAGCCACTTTGGTACGTACCATGAGACCGATGATTGCTACAATGACCCCGTTTTTCATTGCCTTTGATACCAGAGGCCCGGTCAGGTGTAGCTCCTTGAAGGATGGAGGATTGATCCCTTTCCTGAGCTGTCCTACCTACGAACAAGCAAGTAACTTACGGCAAGAGCGAGCGAATGAAAAGATTACAATGCTGAGGTGCTCGTTGGCGTGCGTTGCAAACACACACACCGTTGCCAGGAACACCGATGTTACAGGTGCGATAGCTGAAAGCCAGAAGAGTTTCTTGTTCCTTTTGCTCTGCACAGACAAGCACCACGTCGTTAGCTTTCTTTTCCTTTTCTCTTCCTGGCTGTCAACTTACGATTTGCCTCATTCCCAGAAGGAAGGTGAGGAAGCAGATCCCAATCACAACGGTTCGCCAATTCCACTGCCAACACAATACCAACACGAAACAAGCCGGCTGTCGTCAGTACTTGCTCTAGTATATCCTTTTTCGAGACTCGTCCTTCCGACGTATTGCGACAGGCGAGCTGAAACCTTACATGTGCTGGGTCACGGAAGATGGAATGTAAAACGGAGACAACGTCCGATTTCTTGGTGAAGTTTTGGATGCCGAGGATGCCTCTCATCTGCTGAAGGCACACGGCAACCGCCACCCCGGCTACGAACCCAACAGTCGCTGCGTGCGATAGGAAGTCAATGACAAAGCCAAGCCTGCCACCAAGCAAAACAAAATTTTACAGCAGTGTTCCTCGAGCACAGACAAAGACACAAGAAACCGAAGGCTGACCTGAGAAATCCCAGCGAGAATTGGAAGAGGCCCGCAAAAAAGGTGGAAGTAAAAGCGAGGCTCAAGTGTGCTCGCGGGTCCGTTACTTCGGGTCCGAGGTCCTCTCGGATGAGAGTTCCCAGCACAATGGAGATGACCGCAGCTGGTCCTACGGCCAAGTCCCGGGAGCTGCCAAAGATGGCATACACCATCGGCGGGAGAAAGCACGAATCTTCAAAGCAAAGTTTCCAGCGTTAGTTTACTCGGGCCAGTGCAAAGAGAAAGGACTTCACTTACATAGTCCTACAACTGGTGGCAAGTTTGCGAGCTTGGCATAAGCGATTCCCTGCGGTTGACAGACAGTGACAAGCTCTTTAGCAGCTGGAAGAATGGCTACGTGATGGAAAGTTACCTGGGGGATTGACAGGCTTGCTGTGGTGATGCCAGCGATGAAGTCATTCTTGAGGAAGCCGAGCTTGTACTTTGGAAGCCAGTCGAGAATGGGGAAAAAGTATTGCATCAGCATGATGGCCTGGCGGTGCGACGGCTTGTTGCGAAAGTGTCGAAACGGATCGTCCGGGAAGAGCGTCTCCTTGGAAGTGGTGGAGAACGTTTGGAGCAACGACTTTGCGGGTGGACGTTGCACTGCCTGGGAGATCACCTGGTCTTTGATGCTGATGACTTCCACATTGTCCAGGTCCGTGTCGTTGACGTGATCGTGGCTTTCCTTTTGCACCATACTGCCGCACTGCTTTGCTTTTGCTTTTGCTTGCTTGCTCGCTCGACCGGGATGGGATTTCTCTTTGCTTTCTTTGTCTTGACACTATCACGGATTGTCTCTTTTCTTCCTTGATTCCAACCACAGCAATGCTTGCAGGTCACTTCTCTGCACGAGAGAGAACGAGATGTCAAGAGAAGGAAAGAAAAGAGTTAGAGCATTTCATATCACGAACCAAAAGGCAAGACGTGAAGTGATGGGAAGAACATGTGCGATGATGAGTGAGTGAGAATGATCAGATCGGGCTAGTACTGACACTATCTCTCAGAAGCACTGTGAATGATCGGCGAAAACGAGCGACGCAAATCTCAGAGTTTCATGGTTGGAAACAAGATCCAAGTTGTTCTTCCTCCTATCACATTGAAGGCTAGAACTCATTCACTTGAGAGGACGGATCGCGATTCGCGAAACTAGAGGATCATAAAAAGCTTGGAGATAAAGAGGGAATGAAAGGAAGGACTTTCAAAGTTAAGTTGAAGGAAAAGAGAGGAGTGCTCACGAGAGAACAAAGGGGCGCTCGTCTTGTATATATACGGACCGCATCAAAGATTATTCAAAACGAAGAGCTAACCGGGGAAAGAAAAAGAGAGAAATCACGGGTTTCAACTCTTGGACATTTCATATATCTTATACCATAGCTTTATGGGAATGGGATCTTTGATTTTGGCTTGGCCAGGAGATGGCGACCGCCACTTAGGACTGGGAAGGACTGACTTGGAAGTTTTTGGCATGGAAGCATTCTTTAAAGATCGCCCGCGGAGGAAATTTCCACGGAGCTGTATACTTGGACTAAACTCGGTAGTGATGGCGCTGGAGATATGAGCGCGAGGATGGAGAAGATTCTTAACAAGCTCCAATCAGTGGAGGAAGAAGGCCAGAAGAAACCCAAGGAGAAAAAGCGATTGTAAAGGAAGAGATGGAAGAAAAAGAAGAGGAGCAAATGGGACACTCATAGCTACTGCAGCCCTGTTGCTCTGTTGTGTGACTGGCAGCTATGGGGACAACCAGCCAAGCGCTGTAAGCTTTTTTTCCCCTTGGGCTCCTCTTTGGTGGCTCTTGTGGCTCGCCCCCTCAAACACCAAAAAGAGGACACGAATAATGCACGAAAGGAGGATTCATGCCTTCTTCCACATCATGGAAAAGATGGCAGATGGAAAATGTCAGCATCCATTCGTCAAATCCTAGCATCGATTCACTGAGACAAACGAGGAGGCAACAACGTCGCTGAGTGGAGGAGTGGTGTGGTACCATCTTTCTCTCATTCCTTGTTTTAATTGGATTTCCATTCCATCCGACCGACACGCAACAGGTAAGCTGGAGCTACGGGCCGCCCGCGATTTGGCGAGCCCAGAATCACGAGCAATTTGGAATGGAATGGAAGCTCGAGTTTTTCAATTGGAATCCCCTGTGGCATTGGGACCAGTCGGCTCCATGGATACGAGATAAGCATACTTAAACAAATCCATGGCTCTGGGATGTTGCGTGAAGCTGCCAAGGACTCGCTTGGATCTTTGTTTTTGGGCTGCTCTCAACCAGCCACCTCTCAAAGCTCTTGCCGCGAAAGGTTCGCGGGGTCGGTCGCAACTTGCACGCTCGCCGAGAACGCTAGTGGACTTGCTTGCATGTTTATAAGATTGAAAATGGGAGCCACGCAGCCTTGAATATCAAAGCTGGATTCCCAGTCACGTGAAAAATCCAGCCTTCTTTTTGCTCCCGAGAATAAAACTTTTCTCGGCGGAGATTGAAACACCACCACATCAATCATAGCAATACTAGCGTAGCGCTGCTCAAACCAAAACGCTCCTGTGTTAGAGATCTATGCCATTGTACTGCTACAAAGAGAGAAAAGCGAGAGAGATAACGACACCTTCAAAACTTGGTTGCGTTTGCGTTTCGTCAGCTCTCAGCCTTTCTTGGCATACGAGATGACCATGGCATGGTTGGCAGTGATCTTGAAGCTCTGGAGTGCTTCCAACGCCACGGTTGCCTGTCCTTCGTCCGAGTACTCCACAAATGCAATGCCGGGCCTGCCGTCCACCATCCTCACATCCTTCAAGCCGGGGTACCGAGTGAAGAGCATCTCCAGCATCGGCCCGGTGGTCTCGTCGGGGAGATTCTGGATGAAAAGGATGCTGTTTGGCTCCTGATTCCCAGGCTTCACAGGAGGCTGCATTGCATTCCACAACCAACTGGTGAGTACTCCTTGGCTGACAGACACTAAAAGTACCCAGGCGCTTACCGGAGCTGCACCATACACATGACTGTGTGCTGGAGTGGCACCATTTGCCTGGGGCTGCTCCTGGTCCTTTCTCTTCTTGTCCACTGACACGAAAAAACGACATAGAAAAGAGATGAGACACCACGACGACACAGCAAAAGCAAAAGGAAAAAAGGCAACCAGAAGAACATTACCTCCTTTATCTTCCGTCTTTCTCCTCTTCTCCTTTGGAGCATACGAGTCGTCGGTAAGGCTGATGATAGCATCGGACTTGGACTTGGCATACTGTATTACCTACACAAACGTTTTCACCACAGCATGAGCTCCTCAAACTCGTCTATCCGGAGAAAAAAAAAAAACAATGCAATCACAAGAAGAAGATGCATCTTACAAGTGCCGATGCTCCTTTCACCATTGTCACGGCTCCTAGAAAAACAAAGACAAAGGAAATGGATTAACAGAGAGCTCACATTCATGCAATGCATTCTTCTTTTTTTTTTTTTTTTTTTTTTTTGTAAATCGTACCATGGGCCTGTCGAAGAGCTGGAACTCCTTCATGTGCCGCAGAGCGCTGGTGGCAGCCGGGATTTCGTTGAAGACAACCCACGCTTGGCCGCGCAACTTAGGCGTCTTGCACACCACCACATCGAGTATCCGGCCATAGGCAGAGAATAGCGCGTGCAATGCCCTCTTCATCTCTACAAACGCAACCACACACATCCATCACTGGCTGCTCGCGACGGGAAATCGAGTGTGACTCACCCTGTTTCTTCACCTTGCTGTTGAGATTCTTGATGTAGATCGTCTCGTTGGGCAGAATGTCCGCCATGGTCTTGCAAAACCTAGGAGCTAGGGCAAAGAATGACCATAAACCCTAATGAGTCAATCCTCTTGATATTACAAAGAACAAAAACTTATTTCGCGAGAGCGCGCGCGCGCGAGAGTCTCAGGCTTTCTGCTTGAGCGTGATCTTGTCACCCAAGCTGAGAGCAATGCCTTGGGTCTTGCTCCTGATCCGGATGAAGCCACTCAGCTTGCCGTCGGGCATCTTCTCCACGCTCACATTCACCAGCGCGTCCTCTCCAAACACGCTCTTGGCGTAGAGATTGGCTGCCAAAAACCCACAATCTCCATCCAGTTGCGATCTACTCGTAGCAAACAAGCTGTTAGAATCTCCATCGATCCAGAGAGCTAGCCTAGACAACTTACGGCGGAGTCAAGCATTTCATGTTTGTGGAGGTGACGATGTGATCCAGGAACTGCTTCACGTCCTCTATGCTCGAGCTGATAGAAACCTGCACAAGAAGAACACGAGTGCGTACCATCGATCGAAAAAAAAGGGAGAAAAACTCTCGCGTACCTTGTTCTCCCATTCAAACTCGGCCCACATGTTCCTAAAGGCAACGTCGGGGCACGAGGCCGGCGAGATGTAGTCCATGATGTCAATGTGGATGTCGTTGAGGACGACAACGTTGCGGTCCAGAGCGCTGGTCGACTCGTATACGATGTTCCCGAATATCACTCCCGTCTCCGTGGATGAAACCTTGATGTTTGCTCTGATTTGCTTGCTTGCATCGGGAGCCAGCGTGTAGTTTTGCGGCCGCTCCACCAGCTTCAGGTCGCCCATGGTTGCCAGCTCCAGGCACAGGTTCTGGAGCGTCTCCTTGGTCCGGTTGATCACCGTCACGTCCAGCACAATGTCATACTGGTGTACCGTCACGTATGCTTCCGCATACACGGGATCACTGAACCCTGTGAGCTGAAGCACTCGGTTCAACTTCTTGGTGTCGTCGCTGTCTTTGGTGAACTCTCCAGTAGCTCGCTTCAGATCTGTCTGAACCTCGTCTTCCAGCTCTAGTTGGCTCATGCCCTGGCAAACGAAAACGATAGAGCGTTGTCAGCTAAGACGTGCAAGAGGAAAGAGGGGAGAGAGCTAACCTTTCGGCTCTTCAGGTGGTAGAAATCAATGAGGTCGTCTGGCTGAGCACGAGCAACCTGTTCCTTGGCTCTCGTCTCCTCCGAGTCCCGTCGGAGCTTCTCAGTGATCATCTTCACAAAGCTTGCCCTGCATTTCTCGAGCCAGATGCAACGGGCTTCCTCGTCTGGAGACGTCAGAACTCGGATGCACTGAGTGATCCTGTCCACCGAGTCGTTGTCAATGGGATGAGCCACTACCGCCGACTGACCGAGCCTGAGGATGGACACCATGACTAGAAGAATGTCTGCAGTTGCCTTGTTGACTGCCACCTTCGATGTCTGCAACTCTTCCAGCCGAAGAACAAGCTTTGTGAGCGTGCCACAGATAACAGAGCCGAGGAAAAAATCTCCAGTGAGAAGCAGCGTCCGAAGATTTGTAGAGGTTCCAGCAACCAAGGATACAGGCACTGCGAGAGCGATTTCCACCGCGGCTGTCTGAGACGCGTAAGTGCCATCCGCCAGGACGACCGGACGCTTGGAGCCGACCGATGTCGTCTGCTTGGATGTTGGAGCAGGAGCCTTTGAAGCAGAAGACTGGTCGGCTGCTTCGCCATCCTCGGCCACCGTAAAGAATGGAAGGTCACCCAGGCACTCCTTGATGGTTGAGATGGCACTCTCGATCTCAGGCAGCGACTGGCAATACTCGCCAATGATCCACAGAGCGCAGGAGCAGACCCGAGAGGCGGGAATCTGGTAGAAGAGGTCGAGAAGCCTGGTGATTATAGACTCCCGCAGCTTCGGGTTCGTCTCGATGATCTCCCTCACGAAACAAACCACGTCCAGAGCTGATGCCAAGTTGGTGTCCCCCAGAAAATCCATGAGAAGGTGCACCACTGTGCTCGCCACCTCTGGGAACTTGACCGCGCACGAGTGTATGGCCTGGATCAACATCTGCCTGTACTCCGCATTCTTTTCCAGCTCTTTGTTCTGCGTCTTCACCACCTCCTTCTTGAGCGTCATCACCACCTCCTCGATGTTCCTCGGGGTGATGAGGTCCAGTGCGATGTCCAAAGTCTTCCTCCGGATATCCAGGTTGGGACTCTGAAGTGCCCGCAACACATCCATGATAAGCTCCACCACGATCTCCCTGTGCGTCGCCTTGAGCTCCTGGAGCCGGTCCAGGACGATGAGCTTGACGTTGTTGTCGCTCTGCGAGAGAAGGAGCTGGCAGTAGCAATTGGCAGCTGCTCTGATCGCCGTGGGTGCGCTCGACAGCGAGACGAGAGTTCCAGAGCACTCGTACATGACGGCGGTCGAGTGTGACTGGAGCAGCAGCAGGATCACCTTCATGAACTTCCCCTTGCCATCCGGGTTGGCCCGGCACACCTTTCGTATCAGCTCCAGCGCCACCATCTGGAGGAGATCACCCCAGCCAGGAACACTCTCGGCGTGAGTCAACAGAAAGCTCACAGCTCGGTCCTGGGCACAGTTGCAGAGCATGAGGAAGGCGTTCCTCTTGGCCGAGAGGTCCTGCTCCTTGCCCAGTATCTTCTCGATGAGCTCGGGAGCGTCGGGTAGCAAGTGGTCGCCTTGGGCGAGCTTGTAGATGGCCATGACCGCGAGAATAGCGTTCCTCCGAACGAAGGGGTGCCTGTGCTCCAAGTTGGTGACGATGGCGTGGACGAGAGGCTCGATGAGCTCCGCCTCGTTCAAGCGGGAGAGGAACCTGAGCGTGACGCCACGGATGTACTCATTGGGATGCTGGAGATTGTTGCGCAGGTTCTGGCAGATGAGGATCATCTCCGGCAAGATCTTGCCTTGCGCGTCCGTCTTGTCGATGATCTCCAGGTAGAGCAGCAGCAGCTTCTGGATGGTGTGATCCTCGGACGGCAGCACGTAGCGGACAATGGTGATGAAGAGCTGCGGGATGGTCTCGCCATTGAGCATGAGCATGACGGCCTTCTTCATCGCCTCCACCTTGCGCGGCGTGTCATTGCTCTCCAGAGACTCCCGGATCTCATTCGCAAGCGCGGGGGAGCTCTTGTCGAAATGGACCAAGAGGCTGCACGATTTCTCCATCCTGGATCTGGGATCAAACCCTCAAACCCTCGACCAGATCTCGACGCCTACACCATGGACGAGCTAAGATCTGGCACCGCCCTGCCCGAGATCTAGGAGGATTACCTGGAGTAGCACGCGGTGGCGCTCGAGCCTGCCTTTTCCTCCCCCCAGAGTATAAGCCCTTGCTACCCGGTCTGGAGCTCCAATCCGGTAAAGAGCCCTAGCATTTATGATAAATAAGGTATTTGCTTAATTAACCCTAAAGTGGTATAGAGGTTTGTGTTTTGTCCATTTGAGCTGCACTCGCTGGTGTTTTCTGTGGGATGTGCTTGTGGTGTCACCTGGTTTTGTTTTTGTTTCAGCGACACCAGCGATGGCACTTCAAGCTGGGGTGCGCCAGTTGTTTTGTTTCACGTTTGGCTTCTTCAGTAATGTGCATTCTCGTTTTCCTTTGTTTTCCAAATGCATAGGGAAGTAGAGCTGCTCAACTATAATCGCGAGGTTGCCAAGACCTGAGCATAAAAGTACATCGGAAGGAACTCGAGTTAAATTCGAATGACATTAGAGATGGCAGCTTTGACCATTCCTTCAAAGCATCACGCAAAATCCGGGGAATAGGCCTGAGGAGGGTGAGCCGTGAGGAAGCATACGAGGTGATGCTTCTTCAAGGCATTGGTTCCGGGATTTCCTCCGTCCCACGAAAGATTTCATACTTTGCTACGGTGGCCTTTCCCGGGGCTGGAAAGGCAACACTAGGACGAAGGGCTCGGGAGTTCCTTTTGACGTGTTGGAATGCTTGGCCGGATGGGAGGAATCAAGCCGTGCTGGGGCTGGACGATGCGGACTACGAGCTCTTCAAGTCTATGGCTGCCAGTTCTTTGTATGTTCCACACGGTTGCACACGATAGGGGACGTATTGTAGATGGTGGAACCGGCGGCAGATACTGGCACAGATGGAGATCTGGAAGTGTCCAAGGCTGAAGCTGCATCTCAGGCTGGCAAATGTGCTGGGTTTTCTCCGGTTGGCACTTTGTGTGCGCTGCTGTGTGTCTTCTTTGACGAGCTGAATGTCGTCAAGCAGAGGCAAAGTGCTGGGCGGGATGGAAAGATTTTTTCTGACTACGATGATAAGGTGCAGTGGGGTTCAGTAGAAGCTGCTGGGTTCAGTGGCTGTCCCCGTTAGGTGCAGTTCATTTCTGGTGAAGAAGCTGGCCAACATTCTGGAAAAGGAGTTGAAAATCTCATTGCCAAAAGATCCCAGGGAGGGCCAGAAACAGGGTGGTGCTCGTGCTGTACTGTTGCTTACCTAAAGGATGCTTCATATGGAACGTTAGGCTTCCACCTTGCTGCCAAGAGGATCTTTGGTGCCCCAAATCGTTTGCAGATGCATGTGTTCCAACTGAGAACGCGTAAGGACACCTTGGCCACGCGGCCGGTGACACATTAGAGCATGCGAGAGATTACGAGATCGAGGAAACAAGCAAGAGATGGGTCAGCTGTACTAGGGCCCGGCACTTCATTTGGTGGTGATAGTTTTCATATTCTGCAAGATGGCTCAACCTGAGCAAGTAATAATTCTTCACTCGGTTTTGAAAAATCTCATGTTTTATTTTGCAGTAGGTGACCTTTGTAGTTCTAAGACTAGTTTGCTTTCTTTGGAGTGGCGAGTATATTAGAGACTAGCTTTCAGATAGGCTCGCTTTTCCCCTTGCCAAAAGACCTAACCCTGGAAAGATCAAGATCAGGATCAGGATGTAGATATGGAAGCAGACGAGTATGTATACATTACTAGAGAGTTGCAAACCGCGCTTCTTCAGAGTACTCATCCGTACTTTGCCAGGAGTGTGTTTTGCTTTGAGCAAGAGGGAGCTGCAATCTCTGTATTAAGGCTCTTTAGTAAAGCGGGAGTGTCCCACTTTGCATGACTTGTAAAGGTTTATTATGATGGAGAAACCATAAAGATCGATGTTAGGAGCTTGCGCTCCACCCGGCTATGTTTGATGAATAGAACTTTAAAGTTGAGAACTACAGTGCCAAGCTCTTTTGGGCCATGCGGAGCGCCCCTTCGAACGACTTGTTGCCGCCGATGAAGCCACTAGCGTGGACAAAAACGCCATTGTCAATTCCCGCGACCTGGGAGAGCTCCTCGTCCCTCAGCCCCCTCCATGCCGCTGGCAGTGCCTTGCGGCTCTCGAATCTCCCCGGAGCAAGAGCCACCGCTTGCACTCTCCACTGCCCGGCTCGCTCGTCCTCGTACAACACGTACTTGATGCTCGGCTTGATCTGGAGCTCCTCCTCGAGCTCGAACAAATGCTGTTTCCACTGCCAAACAATGCCACAAATTTCATGTCGTGTATGGACTAGACTGGAACGCCAAAGAAACAAAAAGTTACCGGACAAAACGTGTCCAGGACCATGACTTCGCCGCTGGGATGGATCTCCTTTCTCCTGTTGATGCAGTCGAGCACAATGGATCTGGCCGGCAACCATGACTTGGCATAGTAACGAAGAGCCTGTGGAGAGAAAGGAAGTGTGCGCGAGTCAAACGCGAGGTATCGATCATCACACTCACTTGCTGGAACTCGCTGCCAGTCAGCTCCATGGCTCGAGCAAACGCAGCGTTCTCCATTTCCACGCTTTGCTCCTCCGTCCAGTCGGGATTGAGCTTCCCCACGCGGGCAGACAAGTTAGTGTTCTCCACGTACTTCGGGGGCTGATCCACGTCGTACTGGTTGATTCCATTGTCAATGGCATCGATTCCCTGCAAGTGAAAAAACAAAAGGAGTCGAGCTTGTAGCTTGTGAGCTAGCCGGAGCTTCACCTCCATGAAGTTCTTGTACAGTGCAACGTAAATGGCCTCCACGTCGGGATGATCCGGTTGGAGCGCAAGCTCCTTAGCCACGATCTCCTTTCCAAAGTGCTGCTTCCAAGCATTATGAGCTAAGCTGGAACAAGGAAAGAAATCTTACCTTGTACACAAGGCCCGCGCTGCTGAGCTTTGTGTTGAATCCATTGCCTAGGACATGATCGAATCCTCGCTGGTGATGGTCGAAACGATCTTTCTCGGGATCGTACACACCACCAACATCCAGTACCGCGTCAAGCTTGTCCAGAACCTGGCCAGAGGGAAACCATTGGTTTTTCTAAGAGATTGACCACTTAACTCACCTCTTGGTTCCGGGTCCGGACGATGTCTGCATTGGCGAACTTGTCCGTGAGGCGGATGAGGAAGCATCCCAGTGCCTCGTCACAGTGGAAAGTCCCATTGTGCGTGCCTACCTTTGCCACTCGTTCGCTGCGGCCACCCAAACTGGAGCTCACGCGAACCATAGCCGAGCTGATCCCTCGCGACACAAGAAAAGAGGAGGCTGTGATAGGAAGGAAAGAGGGACGCAATGCGGCCAGCATAACCCTAACAAGGTTAGCAAATTGATTTTCTTCTTTTGAATGAAGAAAATAGTGAAGGATAAAATGCTTATGCTGCAGGTAAATGATTGGAAATGGACTTTGTCACCAAGCATGAGAAGTGATTGTGAGGAAGACATGGGGCTGACAAGAAGACTAGTTCTGTGGGCCAACATAATTGGCTTCAGGATTTTCAAGTTGCATCTAGAAGGCATTATACTCACTTAGTGCATTTGTAATTATATATTATATGCAGTAAATGCCTAGGGATTTTTTTTTTTCATTTTATTGCTATTGGATTTGTGTTTGAACTTTGAGAGATAAGGATGATGTGTTAGGGATACTTTTCTAACATGATTAAGTATTTAATGTTGTAAATCACTAACAACTTAAAAATAGAAGAAAATGAAACATGACTTTGATGCAGAAATATTAGATACAGTATCCACATCCAGCCATATTTTTTTTAACAAGCAAGAAATGTTTGCTTTCTTGCAAGCAATGAAACACGTTTTTAAATGTACTTAGCTGATAAAGCCATACTCAAGTAAACACTCAATCATTTGACACTTGAACTTTGCATAATTGAGTAAAACTAACTAACAAAAGATCAGCTCTACCACAATTATGTTGCTCAACTCTAGACAAAGTGGTAAATCATATAATTAGTAATACCTCCTTAAGCTTCTCAAGATTTTCCAACATTACTAATCCTTCATGCAAAGATTTTCAACTCTGAGATGTATATCAAACACAACTCACTCTTTTTATTGTGTTAGTTCACACCTCAACAACAAATAATATACTTTGAAAATGTACACTTTGATTGAAAGGTTGTGATCATAGTAATAAATTGCAACTCCAACCTCTCCAACTTTAACATTTTCCCACACTTTTTACTTAGAATTATACTTGATGTAAAAAAAAATTGCTTTAAGTGCTTTGAGTTTTTTTGAAAGCTACTTATTTATTTTATACAACACAAAAGTATAAGCCTTGCAGAAATCAAATAGATCACTCAATAAATGTTTAACTTTATATACAAGAGTATAGTCTTAATGTTATCCAAACATCATTTAACGGTTATTATTAATATAATTAGATTGAGAAAAGTTGTAACATTTATTTATACAAAATCAGATGAAATCAAACTACTTTAAAACTTTCTATATTGAAAATATTTTACAAATGTTTTCACCCATCAAATAATGTTAATAAACACATGATTTTGCCTTACATATATAATAAGCTTTTGAAACAAAAGTAGCTTTTAACAATCATTTTGAGAGCAATTCTAATATATAAAACCTAACCATTTGATATAGATTTTCCTAAACATTTTTAACATTCACTTTCAAATAAAAAAAAGACTTTCATGAGTTTATGATGTAGCCTTTAGATTTTTTATTTGTTCACTCTAAAGTTATATAAAAAATTAAAAATATATCATATTTAAAATTTGAATTATCATTTTTGTAATTGCTCTAAACAACAATCCAATATGTCATTAAAAATAAAGATTACATTTTAATATTAAAAACTCTCCAATCCATGTTTATAATCCTATGTATGTTGTTATTGGTATAATTCTTTGGCAATTGAAATCCATGTTTATAATCCTATATATATATTGTTATTTGTATAATTCTTTGGCAATTGAAATTCATTGGAACCATTAGCTACTATAGCAGGACCAATATTATAAATATTTTAACTTTTAGAAAATGCTTGCGAAGATAAAAAGAGAAAAAGAATAAAACAGAAAAAATATATCTATTACTTATTTTTCCTTTCTGACTGTTCCCCATAGAAT